TAGTTCTTCAACTGATGACAAAGTAGCGTACAGTTGATATTCTGCTAGACAAACAAGGCAGACGGTCGTACGAGGAGTGTGACCTTGCACACACAGAGTTTAGTGTCCCTGTGCATATGCCAATGTACCAATGCAGGAAGGAGTGTGCCCTTCAGTGATGCTCAAAGGGAGTGTAGAGGTCAGGGTGGTGGATTGACATGTACTACGTCAGGCTTTCACGCAGTAGACGAGAGTTAGCATCTCATCACAGACCTGCAATTAACACTGTAACATCAACCCTTATTTTAATCAATAGCAAGTGTTCAAGTTGTCTTACCTTACTGTGTGCAGATGTGCATATATAGGAGAAAGTGCTGGGTTTAGGTAGTGGCATTGGGAGCTCAAAAATGAGCTGAAACTCATTATAAAGCTCCGTGAAGATAAGGGGAGCATCAGATGAAGGTGATAATTCTCTACAGGTTCATTACCCCTTTTCTCTTTTCACATTATTTTCACATGTTGTTCGTCTAAGAAATACTGATTAAAGCCGATTTAACCACAGAGGTGACAGTTCTGAAAATGTTAATTCTTGGTTTCAGTCATTTCCATCAAGGTTTAAACCATTAACTGACAGGAAACACATTTGAGATTGGTGGTGTGGCTCTGACGATGTGATGCTCTGGAATAAATGTGCGCTAGATTGCTGGGCTGGTCCTTCTCACTAACCAACATTAAGGGAGAAATGTCACTGCTGTGAATATTTACTTAATTCTCACAGAATGACATGTAAAACTGACAGAGATAGTAAGAAGGCCTTTCCTCATTTTGATGTGACAAAGCCTTTTGCGCAAACTGTGCTGAAGTTGAATGTTGCAGTCAGACTGTGTTTAAGCTGTCTTTTCCACTCTATGACTTCACTAACAAACCCGACCGCATTATCACTTGAGACAACTTAATCCAGCTCCTGTTAGACAAACTGCAGAGTGTCTGACAGCACCAACAAGTTCTTTAGCTTTCTGGTTTGTTCTCTGATCTTCACATTCAGCACTTCGCTTGGAGGATTCAGGCAGAAAGAGCTGAGACGCTTCACCTGCATAGTAGCTGCCCTGGATCATATTAGCAGGGTGCTCTGCCTTTTACCCAGAACATTATTAAGAATTCAAAATTTTATACCAATTGAACAGATGATTTTTAATTTTAAATTATGGATAGAATCTCTAGAAAATGTTGTGTTTTATTTTCATGGCTCAGATATGTTGGTCAACTCCTTGAAGGCTTGTGGTTTCAACAATTTGGACAAAGACCGGGGGTTACGTACTGTAACCTGGATTCGCTGAGTATAGGTGCAGCCATCTAAGGCTATCGCTAATGGGTTTACCCCTTCCGCGCGCCTGCGGCATTGAGAATTTTAGTCTACGCCCACCCACAGCATGGGCCTCTCCTACGTACGCCCCTTGTATATATTTAAAGGTGACACCCAGAACAGTAGAAACACAGGTGGGATGACATTACCTGCACATGCTTACGAAGATGGAGAGTGATATAGAAGCCCACTATGCACAATCTAATGATTATATAGTCGAACTACATTCACATTTAGCCAACAGCAACATTGAATAGGTTCCAGCTGGTGTTATAATTTGGATTCAGTGGATCATGGTTTTAAACTAATTCAGTCTAAGCATAATTAAAGAAGACATTTAATACAGACAGTTAAAGCAATGGTAGATTTGTTATTTACAAATGTAGGTACAGTAAGTAAGGTTAGGACAGCACTAACATATTTTAATTAGCACCAGCATTCCCTGTCCACACCTCTAGGTAGAGATTACAATGTTGTGATACATTCAGAAATTGTTTATTCACTTTGGATTTTGTGTCCTCCCACTCCACTACTACATATACAGAAGGGTAAAGGTCCATGCTGATTGAGGCAGTCATCAGGCATGTGGAGTCCTGCAGATGTGTGAGTCCAATCTATAATAAGACTGGGCTGCCAGGCATTTCAAATCTTCATCTCCTCCTCCTCCTCTTCTGCCATCCCTCCATTCCTGTGCTCCGTCCAGGGAGTGCCACCTCCTCCACCTGCTGCGGTCTGTCTGTCATACAGAGCTGCAGTTTAAAGCTCCTGTCAGGTTCAAACTTCCACAAGTCTCACTGTAGCTGATAATCATATTTTTACTTAAACAGAAATATTCTGTTTTCCTTTACAGGTTTGATTATGGTGTACATGCTCAGAGCTCAGGAAACTTTATTTTGATTTTTAAAAATCGTGTTTTTTAAATGAAAACTGCCACTTTGATTACTAACAAGATTAGATTTTGAAGACAGAAAAATGTACAAATGACAACGGCATTTTCCTGCACATTACTGTCATCGTCGTCTTCTCTGTAGGTTAATGAAACATAGCAGTGACGACCACTTTCAGGACATTAGTGTAGTTGTTCCCCCTGTTGTTGCTGCTGATACAATGTCAGTCACTCGGCTCCGAAATACAGTTGGAAAGCCTTGATTTCAACACCACAAGCTGAACATCTCTGTTTGACAAGTATGTGACTAAAACTGAATTTGCTAGTCAAACAAAAGTTACCAGTTCAAATAGCTAAACTATATAAGACTGAGTCATAGAATTAGATTTTCCATACCACTTTTAATTTGCAGATGTGTGCTTTAAATTAAATGTTTAACAAATTATAAACAAATTATATCTCATTAGTACTGTAGGAGCAGCAGGGTCAGTCATCTACCAGGGGCACGGGGATCCTTTTGATATCTCTGTTCTCAGCAGTTCAGGTGTAAAGAATCTATCTGTCCAAAACTTGTTCTATTCCATTAATGCTTGTCGCTGCTCCTCTGTGACTGTTACACTGATGGCCGGGCAGCAGTGAATGTGTGTTATGTGTTCCTGTGACCTCCTAGAAACCAGATACCTCCAACCCACCCAAACAGGCACGACAGACACGCTGACACGCTACACTTCCAAACCTACACGCCACAAATTCACAGATACACAGATGGGCTTTCTCCCCTGCACAAATACACACACACACACACATACACAGCTAAGCTAAGGCAGTTAAAACACATGATCACATGAAGGTAGAACTGTAAGAAATGAGATTAGCAGGGGGCACAGTCAGGGGCGCAGGACTAGGGGAGGAAGGGGACTGAGTATACAGGGCCTGTGTGTAAGGAGGACCCACAAAGATGCTAAAATGAATAGCCGTGGATGCTGGGAGGGGACTATGGAGAGTGCCTATGTACGGGGTCCAGAATTTCCTTATGGCATCATTACTGCTTTTATAGGTCGCATCAGCCCTCTGTGGAGATGAATATCAAATGTGTTTGAAAGCAGTTGCCAACCTGGCAACTCGCTGTGGACAGGAAGCCAGCCATGGAATCTGGTCAGCAGTCTAGTCCAGGTCTAGTCGGTTTTGCTGTATTTGGTTGCACTAATTACATCCCAGCCTTCCCTAATTCGGTGCGAAATTATTCTTTTTGCTAATATGGCTTTTATCCAGTGGTTACTAATGCATTTGCATTGTCTGAAAAGGAAAGAAAGAAAAGTTAGGAACTTGCAGTGCCACAGCAAACAAGAACTAATAATCTTTGCAGCAGCATTCTGGGTATCTGTCTTTGTTTGCTCTCTTTAAGTGAAACAGTTCACTATTTGGCTCCTGGCATCACTTTATTCAGCTGACACAGATTTACAGTAGTTATGGTGGACTGGTTGATGTTGCTGCTGTTTGACTTGATTTTCTACTGGTTTCTGCTCTCAAGACGTAAAATAGTTTCTCCATATATAACAATCTTGCTCTCTCTGCTTCTTCTTCTTCTTCCTCCTCCTCCTCTTTTCACTATTTCAGAGCACTTTCTGTTTTCTGGGGGTGATATATAACTGGACTTTAATCTTAATAAGCACATTTGGGCGTTTGATCGGTAAAAAATTTGATATATTTTGCAAAAGTATTTGTATAGTTAACATTTTTTGTTTATGAAAATGTCACTGCTGTCGTGGATGTTTTGGGGCTGTTGGAGTAGTACCATTGGGTTAAGAGTGTCTGAGTGGAAAGTTTAAATGGTTTGGGCTCGGGTAGCCCGAGGAGGGGCACGACCAAGAGTACGGAAAGAATGTTAAGACTGCCATTCCAGAAGCTTCACACTGACGGCCATATAGCAGACACGTAAACTCTAATGTGAACAAGTCTGACATAAACATCTGATGCTACACTTTCTTAAGGACAGTAATGGAGCTAATTTGCTGTTATATATTTTACAGTCTAGTTTTGATTGTATGTCAGTGGCGACTGAATTGAATGCCTTTATTGTCAGTGCATGTTACATACAACTAAATTTGTAATCTCTCATAAAAAAAATGTTCACCCTGCTCAGACACACACTTTCATGCTCACACAGTAAATTAACATGACCAATAAATAAGAAATATAAGTTAGGTGCTGTTGTGTGCGTTAGCCCAAGGTACTGTACTTAAAATTGTTGTGGTGGTGTGGGAGGGTGTGGGATTCGGGGAGTGGGTTCAGTTTGCGTGCGACTGACATCCTGCATAAAGGAACAAAATGTTTAGAAACTGTTCAACTTTTAATTTTGCAGGACGAAATTTCAGAAAGACGCGTCTGAAACACATGCTCACCTCCCTCATATGCACCTGTGTTGCATATGATTCTTTACCCCAATGACTAAACAAATAATATAGAACTTGTGAAAATGAACACACATTGGATAACAAAAAACATAAAACAAATCATCAAAGTAATCCATGTGCACCTTTAACCCATCATGGGATAAAGATGGAGTAGCACTATTCCTTTGTCCCTCATTTTGTCATTTAATTGAATCCCTGTTTATGTGCTTTTATTTACAGGACATTCAGTTAAATTACTGTAATTCAGCCAGTTTAGTTAATTCCAGGTTTTTATGTTGCTGTCTAGACTCTCAAATGTGATATGATGAACGAATGCACAAAAACCAAATTAACTCGAACTGTTTTTTTTCTGTTTCAGACTCTGACAGAGACCAAGAGGACAGCCATGTTTTCAGCCAGACCAGAGATCCAGCCGTAAGTAAACACGGACCTCCTTCTGCTCATGCAAACATAAACCAGCTGTAACACCAAAGTGAACAGAATTGCTAAGTTGTGGTGCATTGGAGTATTGTGGTATGTGTATCTCATATCTGTAGTGTATTGTGGTTTAATGATAATGAAAGCTGTATATTTTAATCACACCATACTTATAAAAGCCCAACGAGGGATAGGAGCTTAAATTAACAATAGCTATGAACTCAGTTTCATACTCTGTACTGGAACTATGTTAAATTGCATTTTCCCTATCAAATAAAATCAAAATGAAATGATGATGATCCACATGACAAACTACAACAACGATCTACATTAGTATTCACGGAGAAGAAGATGGTACATGTTTTACTTGTGTTCTCCCTTTTAAAAGCACCATCTGTCCTCCACGCAGTAATAACATACTGCACTTCAGCCCTGAATACGCAGCCGACACTTTAACACAGTAGAGCGATTCTTATAAGTGACTGAAATGAGTGTTGACAGATGTTACTCTTTGTTGCAGCACAAGAATTCACTTTACTGAGAATGTGATATTGCTCTAATCTAATGAGTGTAGGGCATTATTACATTATTATTATTACTGTATGAAGAGAACTGTACATTATAGTTGACTGTGCACTTAACCTCATATACAGGGTACTAAATCATTCTAGCTTTGTGTGTGTGTGTGTGTGTGTGTGTGTGTGTGTGTGTGTGTGTGTGTGTACAAGTGTGTGTTTGTTTGCATGTACTGTCAACAAGAAAGGTAAATCATTAGAGTAAGTGTATTTACATTGATTTCAACACAGTAACTGATCTGACCACTGTGTGTAAGAAAGGATTAAAAGGAGGAAGATATGAGTCATCTCAATGAGGAACTATCTTTTTGAAAAACATAAAAGGAATAATTATAGCACTACAAATATAGTTATTTTAGGAATTCGGCTCACAATCTGAACCAGACATTTAGTTGCAACGTATCAGAGGTCACGGCAGCCTGACAACAGGTGAAATACTAAAACAGGATGTTTTTACAAGATTAACTATGTGAGAGTTTATGTAACAAGTAGAGGAAAGAGATATGGGAGCCTGGGACATGTTTCCTCCAGGAAGGAGGTAAAAGGTAAAAGAACCGTAATCAAGCTTGATTCAGTCCTACAAAATTCCAGCAGAGATACAGTTGAGGTCAAGGGACTAAACACACACATTACAAATAAAAACACATGATAATAACAATAGTAAAGGTTCTGAATGATCTATATTCAGATTGAATGAAATAAAAAGGTTATATGGGGAAAAATACTAAATTTTCCCACAAGATTTATTTCCGCCTCTCTCCTCTAAGAAATTATAATCCCAGATCATGAAGTATCATAGCAAGTTAAAATAAATTCAGTTTTTCCTGGTGGATGGTGGAAGGTCATCAGTCATCTGCAGACAATGATGATGAGTTTAGTTTCCTCAGAGATAAAAGCCCTGTTGTCATTTTTACTGCCTCTGTGCTCTGACTAGAGTTTAGCTGTCAGTAACTGTTTTATCTGTGTGATTGTATTAGGTGGGGCGTCATGAACACATCCTCAAGTTCAGTGGATTGGTAGCAGCAATGCATGGTCGGCATACAGAGTACCTCAGAGTACAACAAACCCACAGCTCGTATTTCCTTTTTAAGTATTTCAGAGAAAGCTGACTCAGCCTCACATGCACATTGTAGCATATATTCCCACCTGGGAGCCTGGAGTTTCCTGAAACAACCATTTTCCTTCTGTTGAGTAGCATCACTGGAGCCAAGGATGTCAGTGGTTGTTGGAATAAATTCAGAACCCCCCCCCCACCCTCCACTCGATTGTTCTTTAGATTTTCCTACACCAGTATCCCAGGTGCTTCAGTAAAAAGCTGCTGTGGAGGCACAAATATCTTGTTAGTGGAGTTAAAGGGTAAAATCACACTTAAATGTGTTGCTGCATGAACGCTTCAAGGTGACTTACATGATCTGCAACTGTGTGGGCAGGTAAAAGACAAGAGGCGGTCGCCCCCCTCTAACAGATCCCCCTCCGCCCCACAACGCAACCCTCACCACAGCGGCTCCACAGACGAACAGGAGAGCCCCGAGAGAGTGGTGAGACACACACACACACACACACACACACACACACACACACACACTTGGCAAAAAGCACACCAACCTATGGTGGTGATAAAAGTAATAAAAAGCAGTTTTCCTTTAAAGAGGTAATTTAAAGCTTTTTGGCTTTTCCTTTATTGTGTTATATATCTTTTTTGTGCATTTAACAGGTGTGCAAAGTGAAAATGAAAAAAGCCCAACGTCCACCCCAAATGGAGTTACCATCTCCCACAGAAAACACTGCTTCCAAACTGCATGTAACATACGTCATAATGCTTGCCTAGCAGCTAGTGTGGCACGCCCTCAAAAACACTGATGGAGAAACACACTGACCTGGAACACACGCAGTGACAAAACGTTTGCCCGCTCATACAGCACATGTGCAACTCCCAACACAGATTACATAGAAGTGAGATGCTTCACTCAGTAGCTGCAGCAATGTGCAGTAGGACAAACATATGGTGTTTTTTTATTAAACCATGTAAACCTATTCTGGTACAACTCCTAAATATAATTCTGAACCTGAAAATTAGCATAATATGACCACTTATAGTTTGACATTTTGGGAAATACATTAATACGCTATCTTGCCAAGACTTAGGAAGTTGAGAAGATCTAGACCACTCCCATATGTGATCAATAAATATGAAGCTACAGCCAGCAGACAGTAAGCTTAGCTTAGCTTCTTTGCAGGAAGCAGTAATGGAGTCTACTCTATACTGGTTTCCTGAAAACCTCAGAGTAATGACAAATTCCAGGAAAGTCACTGCTCCCAGCCAAGAAATAGCTAGGCCACCTACAAGAGTAGCTTTATCTAAGCACACTTACTCACCTAAAGCTGCCGGCTACAACTACACTCAGGCCATGTGCTACCATACTATTCCTATTGTCTCCGGTGCACGCAGGAGGTATCATGCCATCAGGCACAGAAATAAGGCACTCCTCAAGCCTTTAAAACAGGCACCACCCACATACGTTTGCTTGTCTGTTGGGTCATGGAACTGCCAGTCTGCAGTCAACAAAGCTGACTTTATCACTGCTTATTTTAACACATTATCGCTTGGGCTACTGGCGCTCACTGAAACCTTGATGAAATCAGAAAACGCCGCTACCCCCGCCTCGCTGTCCACCAATTACTCTTTCACCCACACCCCCTCACTGTCTGGGACGGGGGGTGGGACGGGGCTCTTTCCAACAAATGGAAATTCACACAGCTGCTACCCCCGAATCAATATGCCTCCTTCGAATACCATCCTTTGGTAAAGGTCTCTGTGATATACCATCCACTAGGAAAAATGGGTAACTTCGTGGACGAGCTAGACGCACTGCTGTCTTCAATACCAGAGCATGACTGTGCCCTACTTGTCCTCGGTGAAATGAACATCCACTTAGACAATTTGAACTCAGCAGACTTCCTGTCTCTGATTCAGTCCTTTGATCTAACACGGGTTAGGAAGCCCCCTCAGCCCACCGACCCACAAAGCTGGCAAGGTGCTTGACCTCGTTCTTGTCCGAAACTTTGCCACCAAGTGCCTGACAGTCACACCTCTACATGTGTCAGACTACTATTTCATTCAGTTCACGGTATGCCTTCCAGAACAGCCCATTGTTCCGCAACCTCTGCAACCTGTCTCCCACTCACTTTGCCTCAGTGGTAGCTTCTGCCCTACCTTCCCTCAACGGATTTTCCTCACTTGAGGTCAATGATGCCGCACAATCTCTGTGCTCTACATTAAGCTCGTGCCTGGATAGTCTGTGTCCTCTATCCACCAAGCCTGCCTGCCTGAACCAGTCCCACCAGTGGCTAATTGATACCATCCGTGGGCTCCGTACTGATCTCAGAGCCGCTGAAAGAAAATGGCGAAGACCCCGCTGACCTTAAGGGCTACCAATTGCTCCTATCCTCCTTCTCAACAAGCATCAGTGCTGCCAAAACGGCGTTCTATAATAACAGAATTAGCAGTGCTACTGACTCAAGGAAATTATTTTCCACTTTTAAAGCGCTACTAAATCCTCCTCCACCTTCACCACCCACAAACTTGTCTGCTGATACCTTTGCTGCCTCAACTCTACCTATCCTTCAGACGACCCCCCCGTCTCGGCGCGGATCACGGACTATCTCTCGGACATATCTGCATTGATGAGGGCTTGCCACCTTGAACAAAACCTCTCCAAGACTGAACTCATTCCAGCCAAGCAATCTATCCACCATAACATCAAACTACAAATTGACTCCTCTACCATCACTCCAATGAGGGTAGTGAGAAACCTCGATGTCATGATTGTCATCTCTCGGTCATGCCGCTTTGCTCTATACAACATAAAGAAAATCAGGCCCTATCTCACTCAGTACGCCACCCAGCTTCTGGTACAGGCCATGGTTATCTCTCGCCTCGACTATTGCAATGCCCTCCTAGCAGGTCTTCCAGCTTGTGCAGTGAAACCCTTACAAATGGTTCAGAACACAGCAGCGCATCTGGTTTTTGCCCAAAAGGACTCATGTCACTCCATTACTCAGTGACCTCCACTGGGTCCCCGTGGCCTCAAGAATCAGTTTCAAGTCACTAATGCTTGCATACAGAGTGACTACTGGGTCTGTTCCCATCGACCTACACTCCATAATACAAACTTGCGTTCCTACTCTGCCACTACGCTCCTCCAACCAACGCTGCCTGGCTCTGCCATCCCTTCACACAAAGCAATCCCACTCCCGGCTGTTCACATCTGTGACACCACGATGGTGGAATGAGCTACCACACGGCATCAGAGCAGGGGCGTCCCTCTCTGACTTCAAGAAGCTCTTGAAAACTCATCTCTTCCGAGAACACTTCCTCTTATAACACCTCTAACTCCTAACCTCTAACATGCACTTCCTGTGCTCTTCTTCTTCCATCATCTTACAATTATCTTGTATTGATTGCACTTTTTTTGTTAACTCTTACTTCCTTCCCTAGGTATTTACCCCATTGATGTGATATGAACTATGAGCTCTTACTAGTATTTATTGCTGCTCTTACTAGTATGTATTGTCAGTTGTAGATCTGTATTTGATGCTCTGTTAATGCTTATATGTTGTTCCTCAAATGTAAGTCCCTTTGGATAAAAGCATCTGCCAAATGAGTAAATGTAAATGTAAATAGTTCACCACATAACAACCCGTAACACCACAACGTGTTGTCTTTACACTTTGACTTTGTACATATTAAACAAAGAAGATATAGCCTAACATGTCAATTAGTGAGTTTTAGTGGTGCTGGTAGGTGGATATTGTTACTTGTGGGCTGAGCCAGTTTAGCTGCATTTGCCTGTTGCTAAGTTAAGCTAACCATCTACTGCTTTATGTTTAACCTACACATATGAGAGTGGTATCAATCTCTTATCTGACTTTCAGCAAGAAAGAGAATATATTTCCCAAAATGTGAACTATTCCTTTAATTTTGACCAACACACCAATAAAATATAAACTACGTTGTTGACATCATAACCCCAGCAGACACCAGGCCCGTACAAACTGGATCACAATAGTCCAGGCCTGGCCTGCTGAGGTCATTGTCCACCACATAAACAACCTTTCATTTCTCCCAGCTCAGCACAGATGCCAGTCGTGGCCTTTTAACGCTGCAGCAGGTGACCGACAGCTGCTGGACGCAAAGCAAACAAAAAACATCTAAATGTGGCAGCTCTAAAACCAGCCGCAGGTGTCCTGGCTGTAAACACTCTGACTCACATTCATGGACTAAAAAGTAGCATGTTAGCACTTTAAGAGTTTTTGTGAAACAAAGTGTTGCCGCTGCTCATCGCGAGACAGCGGCGCCTGCTGGTTCAAATAGAAATGTCATTGTATAGCTAACAGACATGTTGAAACAATAGAAGCTGGAGGTTTTATCCACACATGAAAAAGACCACAGTTACACAGTGAAACATATCTGTAACAACTATTAATATACACATTTCCTGTTTATATAATACACCATCCCCATCATAGTCTGACACTATTTATAATATGGTTGCCTAGACCTTTTATTACATATATTAATTCAAAATAAATAGTCTTAAAAAGATCCGAGAATATTTTTTCTCTAATCTTTCAAATGTAGAACAATGTTGTAAATTCACTTTTTTAAATACATTTTTAGTATTCTCTTTTGTGTAACTATCAAATCAACCGGAAACAAGTTATTGTGTTAACACAGGTAGCATGCATAACAGTGGGAAGTGTGTTTAAATTACTTAATTGCATTGATGCATCATTGATGGTAAGTCACATTTATTAAATTTAACTGTAATTGTATCAGTTCCACTCTTTTAAAGGATCATAATAATAATAGTAATAATATACACTTTATTTATAGACATCCTTTCATACATGCAGCTCAAAGTGCATGACATTATAAAAATAAAAGAGCAGACAACACAGTTAAAATATTAGATCAGTAAAATAATAAAAATGTAAAAATTAAATATTACTTTAGCATATATATATGTACCACCACTTTCACCATCATCATCTTAATAATAATATCTAATGATAATCCTCTAAGATTTACCAGCAGTGTACATAATCAATAAATTACAGTAATACTAATAGATGCTTGGTAAAAGCAATAAGCCCAAACAATTATTGTTCATACCATTTAAACAGTTTTTCAACCATAATTTGGTTGATTCTGTGTTGTTCTTTTGACATCATGACATCCACCTACATTACAGATCATCTCACCCTGTGTTTTCATCACCTGTTGTCTGCAGGTGCAGAAGGAGAAGCTTCATGCAGAGCTGAAGCAGGTGTTGAGTCAAAAGAGAAGTCATCTGAGAGAGTCGACCTGCCAACTGGCCCAACCAGAGATGGACTCAGAGCCCACAGACGAAGTAAACAGCAGTTTGATAAACACTGTTAATGTGACTTTCTAGGCTGAAACATTTAGTACTTTTGTTCGTATCAGTAGTTGATAAGCGACTGGAGAGCCATAAATCCCTTCGTTGTTAAAGGAGATGGGTGACGATGCACACAAAACCACTCCAGTACACAAGTCACTTTTTCCTTTATAAGTTATTTACAAGTTATTTCCTTTGGTCTTCACTGGAAAAGTGGATGTCATTTAAGAATAGAGTGACCTTTCCTTCATGACAGCTTAATGGATAAAATGGATTCAGAAGTAAAGTGTGAAGAGACAAATAACTGTACAGTGCAACAAGATATAAAACAGTGTTGAAGCCTTTGTGAATTGAAAACTATTTTAATCTACCCAGCAAAGAGAAAAGTGAAATGCAAGACACACGTTTCTTATGTGATGCCTGTCTTTAAAGCTGCATAATGCAACTTTGCACATTAGAGCCTAAATGGTGTTGATAGGTAAAGATTTTGATTTCAACAATTTGTGGACTTCAGCATCTTCAGAATAGCTGTTGTGTTTGTCTCCCATGTTTTAAATTCATTATTTATAATTTAGACAAACAGGGTGAATATACAGTGCTCCTGCTGATTAGGATCAGGCACTATACAGAAAAAAAACACTTGCCTTTAAAACTTCTGTAATTTAAAACAGAGAGGGGTTGGAGAAATGCTGCCTGGGTTGTCTAGTTGAACTAATAATTGATTGAACACCTTTAGATATTTTGTTATCCTGGTCAGTTGTCACTTTGCTACAACATCTGGAAAATCAGGGGTTTCATCTTCAAGTAAAATATTACCGCTACAACAGACATTTTTTTATAACTGAGTTTGAGTCCAATCTAAGCAAGATTATTAATGAGAGACCAGAACAAGATGGAGATGAAATGTTTATCTTGAGAGCCACAGTTTATTCTTGGAGATATTCAAAGTTGTGTGTGTGTGTATGTGTGTGTGTGTGTGTGTGTTTCAGAGTGTGGATGAAGCCACTCAGTCAGTGGAAATCGTGGTGGAGACAGAGGCGGAGGCTGGAGCCAGCGGCTACAGTGTGACCGGTGGAGGACAGCGAGGGATCTTTGTTAAAGACGTTCTGAAAGACTCACCAGCCGCTAAACATCTCAGTCTACAGGAAGGTACCATCTGATTTAGAAGACTCAGTGCTGTAAAATGAACATAATCCAAACAAGAAATAAAATGAAAACGTGTTAACAAATATATAGAAATTATATCTATAAAGGAGGTGAATGCTCTGTATAGACAAACTTTAGTATTAGTTTTACATTTTATTTTGCACATTTACAACTTCAAAGCTGTTGAATAGAACTGTATCTCAGATACAGGCGGGGCAGGAAGGTGTTACAGCATGTCAGTTTTTAGCAACACTGATCACAGATCACAACTCAAACTACAGTGGTCAGTTACTGAGGTCAGTACATCAGAGCAGACCGCAACTAGTCTGCCTGTTTCAACTGTCTGCACTGTGAAGATGTTTATTCATACCTCTAAAGGAAAATAATAATAATAATAATAATAATAATAATAATAATAATAATAATAATAATAATAATAATAATGAGAGAGAATGTTTGTATTATTTCCACTGAATAATGATTTTAATTATTTGTGTAAATAGTTGTAGCTCTAGTTTGGTCACGATTTATTTTAAAAGGACTGACATAAAGTGTTATTATGTTAATCATTTCTGACTTGACTTTATGCCTTGATGTAGTTTCTCACTGTGACCACTGGAAGGCAGTGAATGCTTACGATTTTACATAAAACAGTTAGCTCTACCGGCTCTACCGCACCAAAGAAATGACCAGAAAACTTGATAATACAATGATAATACAACTTTTTAGTAATGCAGTTTTTGCCAAAACTGGTGTTGCTGGTGTTGTGTAATAATCATACTAGAATTTACTTCAAAATATTGATATTAATAATGATAGTATTGAAATTTACAGTGTGTTAGATACATAGCGCAGTTTCTCACTGTGACCACCGGAGGGCAGTGAAAACTCGTGTTTGAAATGAGAATAAATATTTGTATTTTTCCCATTGAAGAATAAGGACTTGTTGTATGTAGCTTCATTATTATTTTTGTTTCATGATCATTTCTACTTCAGTTATTCTAATGTGGGGCTGTAATTTCAAATTATCATGACTGGAGACCAAGAAAACATAGACAGCACCCAAAAACAAATTCACTGCTACTGAAATGTCCACAGTGCAGCTGATATGATTCATCTCTATCTTTACTGACAGGTCGTCGTGGTAGCAACACTCTCGTCAGTTTTCCTGTAAATGGAACCATTATTTACAAAAACAAAGTACTGTTTTGAAGAAGATTTGAAACTAGTGAGACCACAAACTCATTAAAAAAGTGTTAACTGAGGTAATAAATCAAGTGAGAAGTAGGGTCATTTTGTCATAAAATCCAATGCAATCGGACTTCTTTTTGCAACCAGTGGAGTCGCCCCCTGCTGGCCATTAGAAAGAACACAGGTTTAAGGCACTTTTGCTTTTGGACTTGGATGAAAATCTTCAAGATTATTACTTTAAATTTCTTTCAGATGGCTTCAGTTTGGTCACAGATTTATTTTGAAAGTAACACCGTAAGTAAATCTATGTTATTGTGCCTGCTTTGACGTAGTTCCCTGCTGTGACCACTGGAGGGCAGTAAAGGGGGCCAGTGGACATTCACCTTTAAATGAGCTAACTTTTTTTTTTAATTTTCCTCTGTTGGTATGGCTAATCAGAGCTAGCAGTTCATGCTAATGGACCATAGCTCATCCTACAGTGACCTTGTAGTAGCCTAGTTATTACAAATGGCTATACATCAGTACAATTGTGTAAATTCAATTGTATTCTGTACCCACTACTGGATACAGGATACTGCTGTACTACCATTCCCCCAGGAAAAGTAAATATCACATATACATCAAATTGATTTTAGAATTAATATTTTTAACCCCAACTTGATAAAAGTGCAAACTGAGATGCAGAGGTGGAAGTTTTTTTAATTACTTTGCCAGATTTAAACACTGTCTGAATTCATAATGTTCTCTGTGTGAAGGTGACCAGCTGCTGAGTGCCAAGGTCTATTTCGACAACGTGAAGTATGAAGACGCTCTTAAGATCCTTCAGTGTGCGGAGCCATATAAGGTCAGCTTCCAGCTGAAGAGGACCATCCTTGGAGCAGAGGTCACCATGCAGCCTCGAGTTCCCAGCATGGAGGTCAAAGGTCCCAAAGCCAAGATGGCCAAAATGGTAATCAATTATATTCTAAAATAAATGTTCTGTTTGTAATAATCAAACTTTGATAAATATCTCATTAAAAGACTTATTATTAAATTAACTTGTAACTTAAATTCTGGGTCTATTGTTTATAAATAATATAAATATTTAGAGCCTCCAATTAGATTCAAAGCTTATTAATTCTTTCCATACTTTTTCAGTTGTTGAACGTATAAAGCCAGCACCTTAACAGACAGTATCACAATCAAATGTTGTTGACTGACCCTTTTATCATTCATGTGTGTTTGTGTGTATTTCAGAGTGTGAAGGGATCCAAGCCGTTCAAGGTCAAGAAGAAGAGAGGTGGTCGTTTTGGTCTGAAGAGGCTGAAAGAGAATCGCAGAGAAGAGCTGGTGATTGAGGGAACGCCCCCCAGACTGGAGATGAGTGACGTAGATGTGGAGTTTTCTCTCCCCAAATTCAAACAGAGGAGGAGCGCGAAGGTCGAAGCAGGAGGAGCAACAGCTGCAGCAAAGGCAAAGAGGAGGATCAGGTTGGCCTTGTTTTTGTTATTTCTATGGGGGTTTTTTTAAGTGGAAATGATCGAACAATTGCCGTGGGAAGGGATCGTCATAAGGTCCATGGCACTTAAACCAATCCCTGAGCTTCCTTTTTCCGACAGTGATTATTTCTGTCACAGGCCCCAGCCCATCATAGGCCTATGAGCCAGAGCTAGACCAATTTAACCCCTGTGTTATGACAAATTGCAGTGTGGCTGTGGCTTGGCTGTGCCATGGGTCTGGTATTGGTTGGTTCGTAGTTTTGGCCGATGTGGTGATCCGTGAAGAGCATGCTAGCATGCTCATGGATCATCATCACAGTATCATGGACCCAAAGATCCAAATAAGATATAAAAATATTACCTATAGTAACATTATTCTAAATATGATTCAGTGTTAATTTCAGCATTCTAGTGTATGTCACATCATTGTTTTGGCCGATGCCCAGGATGATGCTCACTCACCTACATAGTGCAAACGCAAAGCATTTTTACAAAGCATTTTGGAATACTTCCTGTAAATTTTTTGGCTTATATTACATGGCTCATATTATGTCTTTTCCTTCTTCTCTCCTTCCTATTTTAATATGGTTGACACAGATTTCCTCGTATGAAAACAAAGGGCTATGCTGGAGCAGAGACAGGAGGAAAAGTGGACACAGGACGATTTGAGGGACAAGTGAACGTCTCTCCATCTGAGATAACTGAAGCTAAACTGAAAACCAAAGGAAAAGGACACAAGTTTGGAATCACCTTTCCTAAGAGCAAGCACACAAAGTCAGGCTCAGCTTTGGGAATGGGATCTGTGGAGCTAAAGCCCCCAGGTGTGAACATCCAGCCACCATCAGTGGAGTTCAGTTTGCCTGGCAATAAAGATGTGGATGTGGAGAAGGAAGGGTTTAAGATTAACGCGCCTGATGTGGAGTTTGCACTCCCTTCAGGAAAAGCTGAGGCGTCTCTGCCTGCTGTGAAGGGAAAGGCAGAAATCAAAGCTCCTAGAATTGACATCAAAGGAGGAGTTGATGCAGAGGCAGCTGTAGGAAAAGTTGATGTAGATGTAGGCAAGGGAGATGCAAAGCAAAGAATGCCAAAGTTTAAACTGCCCAAAGTTAGACTCCCACATCTTTCAGATGAGATAGATGGTGATATCAAGGTAAAAGCCAAAGGGATAAAAGTGCCTCACACTGATATAATACCTCCAAAAGTAGAAATCAAAGGAGATGGTGAGATTGGTCTCCCCGAAGCAAATATCACCAAACCAATGATGGAAGGTGATCTATCGGGAAAAGCCGCATCTATTCAAATGCCTTCTATTGATATTTCTTTACCAAATGTGAAGGGAAAGACTGACAATGACGTCTCACTTCCAGAGTACAGAGGAGCTGGGAAGACAGCAATCAAAATCCCTGCTATTGACATCTCTGTGCCTGATGTTGATGTGGAACTGGACGCCAGTCACAGAATTCCTGACGAGGTGGAGGGCACCTTCAAAGGCCCCAAAATCTCCATGCCAAAGATTGATATGTCGTTACAAAAGACGGGATCTTCCAATATGGATATTGAAGGTCCAGAAGGTGGAGGAAAATTTAGTCTACCCTCTGTTGACATCTCTCTCCCAAATGTGAAAACAAAGGGTGAAGATGTGGACATGGAGTATTATGTTGGTGGAGATGGGAAGTTCAAAATGCCTGATTTTGACATCTCTTTCCCAAAAATGAAGTCACCAGAAGGAGAGGTAAATATGAAAGGACAAGAGGTGGAGGATCATTTCAAGTTACCCAAAGTAGACCTGACCCTTCCCAAAGGCAAAGCAGGAACGACAGATATTGAAGGAGGAGGAAAATTTCAGTTACCATCATTTGACATCTCCCTCCCTAAAATGAAGACAGGTGAGCTGGAAGTCAACCTCGAAGGCCCTGAAGTGAAAGGTGGTAAATTTGAAATGCCCACACTTGACATTTCTCTGCCCAGAAGCAAAATAGAAGGAGACACAGAAGTAGAAGGGAATGATGGGAAGGGAGGACAATTCAAGATGCCTACCTTTGACATCTCACTCCCAAAGATGAAAACCAAGGAGGCAGAGGTTGATATTAAAGGACCTGAAGTCAAAGGAGGAGCAAAGATCAACATGCCGTCACTCGACATCTCTCTTCCTGCAGTGAAATCACCAGAGGGGGAAGTAAAGCTCAAAGGTCCTGAAGCCAAAGGAGGAGCAAAGATCAACATGCCGTCACTCGACATCTCTCTTCCTGCAGTGAAATCACCAGAGGGGGAAGTAAAGCTCAAAGGTCCTGAAGCCAAAGGAGGAAAGTTCCAGATGCCTTCTTTTGATATGTCACTACCAAAGATCAAATCACAGGGAGGTGACATCGATATTGAAGGTCCTGAGTTTAAGGTTAACACACCAGAGGCAGATTTAAACCTAAAGAGAAGTGAGATTAAGGGAGGGAAAATAAACACACCTACAGCTGATATCTCTTTTCCAAAAGGAAAAGTAGAGGGTGAGATAGATATTGAAGGATCCACAGGAAAAGAAGGCAAGTTTAAGATGCCTACATTTGATGTAACGCTACCCAAGATGAAGATGCCTGAAGGAAAAATTGGTCTTGAGGGACCCTCAGTTGATATCTCTCTTCCAAAGGGGAAAGTAGAAGGTGACATGCAAACTAAAGGTAAAGGAGGACATTTTCATATGCCCTCAGTTGATGTTTCTCTCCCTAAAATAAAATCAAAGCGACGTGATATTGAGGGACCACAAATCAAAGGTGGAGAAATAAAAATGCCAACTATTGACATCTCACCCCCTCAAGGAACATTAGAAGGCGAAGGAAGAGGAGGCAAAGTCAGCCTACCATCTGTAGACATTGTCCTCCCTACTGTAAAATTCCCAGAGGGAGATGTGAATTTTCAAGGGCCGAAAGTTAAAGGTGGGAAGTTTGAAATGCCAAAAATCGACCTCTCGCTTCCTCAAGGACATGCACAGGGAGACATTGATATTGACATTCACTCTGGGAAAGATGGGAATATTGAGATACCATCCTATAATATTGGACTTCCTAAAGGAAATGTCAAAGCTGACATAAATGTTGAAGGTCCTGCAGGGGGGACAGCCAAATTCAAAATGCCAAAATTCGGCATTTCACTTCCAAAGATGAACCTGCCAGAGGGTGATGTCAAACTGGAAGGACCAGAGATTAAAGGAAAAATTGAAATGCCGACTGTTGATATTTCACTTCCAAAAGGAAAAATAGAGGGAGATGTTGACATGGAAGGACATGGGGTTAAAGGAGGAAAGTTTAACATGCCTTCAATCGATATCACTCTTCCTAAAATAAAACCTAAGGAAGTCAGTGTCGATATTGAAGGGCCTGATGTTCAAGGAGGAAAGTTCAATATGGCATCACTTGATGTCTCGGCACCTAAAATAAAATCTCCAGAGGTAGATGTCAGCCTTGAGGGTCCAGATGTTAAAGGAGGACATTTCAAAATGCCAGCTGTTGACATTTCACTTCCAAAAGCAAAAGGTGAAGCTGGCATAAATATTGAAGGTCCTGAAGGAAAAGGAGGAAACATCAAAATACCTGAATTTGATCTCTCATTACCAATACCAAAAGTACATTTTCCAGAGGGTGATGTCAAGTTAAAAGGTCCTGAGATCAAGGGCAGGAAGATTGAGATGCCAGACATTGATATTTCACTCCCCAAAGGAAAAGCAGGAGGAGAAATTGAAATTGAAGGACAGGCTGGTAAAGGAGGAAAGTTCCATATGCCCTCTGTTGATATATCTCTTCCTAAAATGAAAGCTATGGGACCAGAGGTCAACATAGAAGGTCCTGAACTTAAGGGAGGAAAAATCAACATACCAGACCTTTCACTCCCCAAAGGAAAGGCTGACGCTGACCTCAGAATTGAAGGTCCTGAGGTAAAAGGGGGCAAATTCAAAATGCCCAAATTTGACGTTTCACTTCCAAAGATGAACCTGCCAGAGGGCAATGTGGAAATGCCAACGTTTGATATTTCACTTCCAAAAGGAAAGGTAAAGGGAGATGTTGACATTGAGGGACATGTGGGTAAAGGAGGCAAGTTTCACATGCCCTCGGTTGATATATCTCTTCCTAAAATAAAAGCAAAGGGAGTTGATGTTGATATTGAAGGACCTGAACTTAAAGGTGACATGTCGTTACCTAAAATTAAGTCTCCAGAGGTTGACATCAGCCTCGAGGATGTTAAAGAAGGGAAGTTTAACTTGCCAACTGTTGATGTTTCACTCCCCAAAGGAAAAGTTGAAGGCGACCTAAATATTGAAGGTCCTGACATAAAAGGAGGCAAATTTAAAATGCCAAAATTTAATGTTTCATTGCCAAAAGTGAATCTCCCAGAGAGTGATGTCAAAATTAAAGGCCCAGATATCAAGGGAGGGAAGATTGAAATGCCAGACATTGATATTTCACTCCCCAAAGGAAAAGCAGGAGGAGAAATTGAAATTGAAGGTCGTGCTGGCAAACGAGGAAAGTTCCATATGCCCTCTGTTGATATATCTCTTCCTAAAATGAAAGCCAAGGGACCAGAAATAAATATTGATGACCCTGAAGTTAAAGGTGGAAAGCTAAACATGCCATCACTTGATGTTTCTCTGCCCAAAATAAAATCCCCCGATATAGATATCACCCTTGAGGGTCCTGATGTTAAAGGGGGAAAGTTAAACTTGCCAGCTGTTGACATTTCACTTCCCAAAGGAAAGGTTGATGCTGATCTCAATGTTGAGGGTCCTGAGGTTAAAGGAGGTAAATTCAAGATGCCCAAATTTGATGTTTCGCTTCCAAAGATCAACCTGCCAGAGGGCAATGTGGAAATGCCCACAGTTGATATTTCACTTCCAAAAGGAAAGGTAAAGGGAGATGTTGACATAGAGGGACATGCTGGCAAAGGAGGCAAGTTTCACATGCCCTCGGTTGATATATCTCTTCCTAAAATAAAAGCAAAGGGAGTTGATGTTGATATTGAAGGACCTGAACTTAAAGGTGACATGTCGTTACCTAAAATTAAGTCTCCAGAGGTTGACATCAGCCTCGAGGATGTTAAAGAAGGAAAGTTTAACTTGCCAACTGTTGACGTTTCACTCCCCAAAGGAAAAGTTGAAGGCGACCTAAATATTGAAGGTCCTGACATAAAAGGAGGCAAATTTAAAATGCCAAAATTTAATGTGGCATTGCCAAAAGTGAATCTCCCAGAGAGTGATGTCAAAATTAAAGGCCCAGACATCAAGGGAGGGAAGATTGAAATGCCAGATATTGACATTTCCCTCCCCAAAGGAAAAGCTGGAGGAGAAACAGAAGTACACACTGGCAAAGGAGGGAAGTTCCATATGCCCTCGGTTGATATCTCTCTTCCTAAAATGAAAGCTAAGGGACCAGAGATAAATATTGATGGTCCTGAAGTTAAAGGTGGAAAGCTAAACATGCCATCACTTGATGTTTCTCTATCCAAAATAAAATCTCCTGATGTAGATATCAGCCTCGAAGGTCCTGATGTTAAAGGAGGAAAGGTCAACATCCCATCTGTTGACATTTCACTTCCCAAAGGAAAAGTTGAGGGTGACGTAAATGTTGAAGGCCTTGAAATGAAAGGCGGGAAATTCAAACTGCCGAAATTTGATGTCACTTTACCAAAAGCGAGTCTCCCAAAGGTTAATGCCAATGTGGAAGGACCAGATATGAAAGGAAAAATTGAAATGCCAACTATTTCACTTCCAAAAGGAAAGGCAGACATGGATTTTGACATTGGTGTACACAGTGGTAAAGGAAGCAGGTTTCACATACCCTCACTTGACATCTCTCTTCCTAAAATTAAAGCAAAAGGAGTTGATGTTGATATTGAAGGACCTGAAGTCAAAGGTGACATGTCACTCCCTAAAATGAAGTCCCCAGAGGTAGATATCAACCTCGAGGGTCCAGATGTTAAAGGAGGAAAGTTTACCTTGCCAACTGTTGACATTTCACTACCCAAAGGAAAGGTTGAAGGTGACCTCAGTATTGAGGGTCCTGAGGTAAAAGGAGGAAAATTCAAAATGCCCAAATTTGACGTTTCACTTCCAAAGGTGACCCTGCCAGAGGGCAACGTGGAAATGCCAACAGTTGATATTTCACTCCCAAAAGGAAAGGCAGACGTGGATATTGACATTGATGGGCACGGTGCTAAAGGAGGCAAGTTTCATATGCCCTCACTTGATATCTCACTTCCTAAAATCAAAGGACCTGAACTTAAAGGTGACATGTCACTCCCTAAAATGAAGTCTCCAGAGGTAGATATCAACCTTGAGGGTCCTGATGTTAAAGGAGGAAAGTTTACCTTGCCAACTGTTGACATTTCACTACCCAAAGGAAAGGTTGAAGGTGACCTCAGTATTGAGGGTCCTGAGGTAAAAGGAGGAAAATTCAAAATGCCCAAATTTGACGTTTCACTTCCAAAGGTGACCCTGCCAGAGGGCAACGTGGAAATGCCAACAGTTGATATTTCACTCCCAAAAGGAAAGGCAGACGTGGATATTGACATTGATGGGCACGGTGCTAAAGGAGGCAAGTTTCATATGCCCTCACTTGATATCTCACTTCCTAAAATCAAAGGACCTGAACTTAAAGGTGACATGTCACTCCCTAAAATTAAGTCTCCAGAGGCAGATATCAACCTTGAGGGTCCAGATGTTCAAGGAGGAAAGTTTAACTTGCCAACTGTTGACATTTCAATACCCAAAGGAAAAGTTGAGTGTGACCTTGATGTTGAGGGCCCTGAGGTGAAGGGGGGTAAATTTAAACTTCCAAAATTTGATGTGTCTTTACCAAAAGTGAGTCTCCCAGAGGGTGATGTCAAAGTAAAAGGCCCAGATTTCAAGGGAGGGAAGATTCAGATACCAGACATTGATATTTCACTCCCCAAAGGGAAGACCAAAGGAGAAATGGAAATTGAAGGACATGTTGGAAAAGGAGGCAAGTTTCATATGCCCTCGGTTGATATCTCTCTTCCTAAAATTAAAGCAAAGGGACCACAAGTCAACATAGAGGGTCCTGAACTTAAAGGCAGAAAAATCAACATCCCAAGTGTTGATATTTCATTACCTGAAGGAAGGGCTGAAGCTGACCTCAGTATTGAGGGTCCCAAAGTAAAAGGAGACAAATTCAAAATGCCCAAATTTGACGTTTCACTTCCAAAGATGAACCTGCCAGAAGGCAATTTCAAAGTGGAAGGACCAGAAATGAAGGGAGGAACGATGCCAGCTGCTGAAATTTCAGTTCCAGTGGGAAAAGTAGAGGGAGATATCAATATTGAAGGACCGTCTGAAAAGGAAAAGTCTGAAGTGCCAAAAATTGACCTATCTGGTAAAAAAGGTGGTGGACTCCACATGCCAACTCTTGACATAAATCTCCCCAAATTTGATCTTGACCTCAGCCTCCCCTATGGTCTGAAAGACAAAAGCCTCAAAGTAGACACCAGTGGTCCTGATGCATCAGGACATTTGGAGATGTCTGGTCTCAAAGGAGATATTAATCCAGCCAAGTTGAAAATTAAGGGCGCTGACATAGGGAGAGGTAGTGCAGAAGGTCCAAGTGCATCCCTCAAGCTTCCTACTGTAAAACTACCGACAGTTGACATTTCAGCGCCAAAGGTGGATCTAGACTTTGGCCTAAACAAACCTAAAGGTGACGATGTGGAAGTGGAGCTTCTGAAAGCAGAGGGAGGGAGGCCTTCTTCAGGGGGCAGCTTTGATCTACCTGATGTCTCCCTCAAAGTCCCCAGTTTCTCTCTTCCCAGGTTTGGTGGAAAGTCCAAGAGCGGTGATTTTCAGAAATCAGGGAAAGGCCCCAAAGGAGACATTTCCCTTAGCCCACCACAAGGAGAGATTAGGGCACCATCAGTAGAGTTTGATGGGGATGGAAAAGTCAAGGTGAAAAAACCTAAACTCAAAATGCCCTCATTTGGTATATCCAAAAAGGATGCAAATGTATCTGTGTCTTGCCCTGATGTGGATGTTAAAGTGAAAAAGGGGGGCATTGACATTTCTAAACCGGAAATCAATGTTGAGAGCCCAGGTGATAAATCAAAATACAAAGTGAAATTCCCCAAGTTTAAAATATCATCACCTAAAAGTCAACTCCCAGAGGGAGATGGTAATGCTAAACTGGAAGCAAATGTGGAAGGGAAAGGTGGCTTCCATGCACCTGACGTCACTATTGAACTGCCAAAGTTCTCCATGCCAGGATTTGGCTCTAAAGAAAAAGATTTAGGTAAGCTAAGTGGTTACCATGACGCTAAGGCCAAGGTCAAGATGCCCTCAGTCGAACTGTCACTACCAGCAGCTAAAACACCAGAGACTGAGATTCTTCTTCCCAAAGCAGAAGTTGATGTCTCAGAAGCTGATATCAGAGGTTATGAGGGAAACCTCAAAATTCCCAAAATGCCAACTATTGACGTTTCAGTCCCCAAAATAGATCTGGATGTGTCCCTGCCAAAAGTAAAGCATGATGCAAAGGTTAATGGAGAAGGAGGTAAATTCAAGATGCCAAACATCAAAATGCCTGACATTGACATGTCTCTTCCTAAAGGAAAGACTGGTAAGTTAGAGGGATCAGATGTTGAAATTGAGGGAGGAGGAAAGCTGAAGATGCCACATGTCAAAATGCCACAAGTTGACATTAAGCTGCCAAAAATGAAGACTGCTGAGGTTGATACACCAGATGTGGAAGCAAATGTTAAGGGAGGAGGAACAAAATTCACAGTGCCACATCTCAGCATGCCCTCTGTTGATATCTCTCTGCCCAAAGGAAAGATCGAAGGCCCAGATGTTGAAATAGAGGGAGGTACCGGAGGAAAGTTTAAAATGCCTCACATGAAAATGCCAGATGTTGATATCTCTCTGCCCAAAGGAAAGATCGAAGGCCCAGACGTTGAAATAGAGGGAGGTACCGGAGGAAAGTTCAAAATGCCTCACGTGAAAATGCCAGATGTTGATATCTCTCTGCCCAAAGGAAAGATCGAAGGCCCAGACGTTGAAATAGAGGGAGGTACCGGAGGAAAGTTCAAAATGCCTCACGTGAAAATGCCAAATGTTGATATCTCTCTGCCCAAAGGAAAGATCGGAGGCCCAGACATTGAAATAGAGGGAGGTACCGGAGGAAAGTTCAAAATGCCTCACGTGAAAATGCCAAATGTTGATATCTCTCTGCCCAAAGGAAAGATTGAAGGTCCAGACGTTGAAATAGAGGGAGGTACCGGAGGAAAGTTCAAAATGCCTCACATGAAAATGCCAGATGTTGATATCTCTCTGCCCAAAGGAAAGATCGAAGGCCCAGATGTTGAAATAGAGGGAGGTACCGGAGGAAAGTTCAAAATGCCTCACATGAAAATGCCAGATGTTGGTATCTCTCTGCCCAAAGGAAAGATCGAAGGCCCAGATGTTGAAATAGAGGGAGGTACCGGAGGAAAGTTCAAAATGCCTCACATGAAAATGCCCTCAGTTAACATTTCACTACCAAAAGGAAAGATCGAAGGCCCAGACGTTGAAATAGAGGGAGGTACCGGAGGAAAGTTCAAAATGCCTCACATGAAAATGCCAAATGTTGATATCTCTCTGCCCAAAGGAAAGATCGAAGGCCCAGACGTTGAAATAGAGGGAGGTACCGGAGGAAAGTTCAAAATGCCTCACATGAAAATGCCAAATGTTGATATCTCTCTGCCCAAAGGAAAGATTGAAGGTCCAGACATTGAAATAGAGGGAGGTACCGGAGGAAAGTTCAAAATGCCTCACATGAAAATGCCAGATGTTGATATCTCTCTGCCCAAAGGAAAGATCGAAGGCCCAGATGTTGAAATAGAGGGAGGTACCGGAGGAAAGTTCAAAATGCCTCACGTGAAAATGCCAGATGTTGATATCTCTCTGCCCAAAGGAAAGATCGAAGGCCCAGACGTTGAAATAGAGGGAGGTACCGGAGGAAAGTTCAAAATGCCTCACATGAAAATGCCAGATGTTGATATCTCTCTGCCCAAAGGAAAGATCGAAGGCCCAGACGTTGAAATAGAGGGAGGTACCGGAGGAAAGTTCAAAATGCCTCACATGAAAATGCCAAATGTTGATATCTCTCTGCCCAAAGGAAAGATTGAAGGTCCAGACATTGAAATAGAGGGAGGTACCGGAGGAAAGTTCAAAATGCCTCACATGAAAATGCCAGATGTTGGTATCTCTCTGCCCAAAGGAAAGATTGAAGGTCCAGACATTGAAATAGAGGGAGGTACCGGAGGAAAGTTCAAAATGCCTCACATGAAAATGCCAGATGTTGATATCTCTCTGCCCAAAGGAAAGATCGAAGGCCCAGATGTTGAAATAGAGGGAGGTACCGGAGGAAAGTTCAAAATGCCTCACGTGAAAATGCCAAATGTTGATATCTCTCTGCCCAAAGGAAAGATTGAAGGTCCAGACATTGAAATAGAGGGAGGTACCGGAGGAAAGTTCAAAATGCCTCACGTGAAAATGCCAGATGTTGATATCTCTCTGCCCAAAGGAAAGATTGAAGGTCCAGACGTTGAAATAGAGGGAGGTACCGGAGGAAAGTTCAAAATGCCTCACATGAAAATGCCAGATGTTGATATCTCTCTGCCCAAAGGAAAGATCGAAGGCCCAGATGTTGAAATAGAGGGAGGTACCGGAGGAAAGTTCAAAATGCCTCACATGAAAATGCCCTCAGTTAACATTTCACTACCAAAAGGAAAGATCGAAGGTCCAGATGTTGAAATAGAGGGAGGTACCGGAGGAAAGTTCAAAATGCCTCACATGAAAATGCCAGATGTTGATATCTCTCTGCCCAAAGGAAAGATCGAAGGCCCAGACGTTGAAATAGAGGGAGGTACCGGAGGAAAGTTCAAAATGCCTCACATGAAAATGCCAAATGTTGATATCTCTCTGCCCAAAGGAAAGATTGAAGGTCCAGACATTGAAATAGAGGGAGGTACCGGAGGAAAGTTCAAAATGCCTCACATGAAAATGCCAGATGTTGATATCTCTCTGCCCAAAGGAAAGATCGAAGGCCCAGATGTTGAAATAGAGGGAGGTACCGGAGGAAAGTTCAAAATGCCTCACGTGAAAATGCCAAATGTTGATATCTCTCTGCCCAAAGGAAAGATCGAAGGCCCAGATGTTGAAATAGAGGGAGGTACCGGAGGAAAGTTCAAAATACCTCACATGAAAATGCCAGATATTGATATCTCTCTGCCAAAAGGAAAGATCGAAGGCCCAGAAGTTGAAACAGGCGGAGATGGCAGAGGGAAATTCAAAATGCCTCACATGAAAATGCCCTCAGTTAACATTTCACTACCAAAAGGAAAGATCGAAGGCCCAGACAATAAAATAGAAGGAGGTACCGGAGGAAAGTTCAAAATGCCTCACATGAAAATGCCAGATGTTGATATCTCTCTGCCAAAAGGAAAGATCGAAGGCCCAGAAGTTGAAACAGGCGGAGATGGCAGAGGGAAATTCAAAATGCCTCACATGAAAATGCCCTCAGTTAACATTTCACTACCAAAAGGAAAGATTGAAGGTCCAGATGTTGAAATAGAGGGAGGTACCGGAGGAAAGTTCAAAATGCCTCACATGAAAATGCCAGATGTTGATATCTCTCTGCCCAAAGGAAAGATCGAAGGCCCAGACACTAAAATAGAAGGAGGTACCGGAGGAAAGTTCAAAATGCCTCACATGAAAATGCCAGATGTTGATATCTCTCTGCCCAAAGGAAAGATCGAAGGCCCAGACGTTGAAATAGAGGGAGGTACCGGAGGAAAGTTCAAAATGCCTCACATGAAAATGCCAGATGTTGATATCTCTCTGCCCAAAGGAAAGATCGAAGGCCCAGACGTTGAAATAGAGGGAGGTACCGGAGGAAAGTTCAAAATGCCTCACATGAAAATGCCAGATATTGATGTCTCTCTGCCCAAAGGAAAGATCGAAGGCCCAGACACTAAAATAGAGGGAGGTACCGGAGGAAAGTTCAAAATGCCTCACATGAAAATGCCAGATATTGATATCTCTCTGCCCAAAGGAAAGATCGAAGGCCCAGACGTTGAAATAGAGGGAGATGGAGGAGGGAAATTCAAAATGCCTCACATGAAAATGCCAGAAGTTGACATCACGCTGCCTAAAGGAAAGATTGATGGTCCTGAAGTGGAGCTGAAAGGGGAAGGTGGAAGATTCAAGATGCCACATCTCAACATGCCCTCTGTTGATATTTCACTGCCTAAAGGAAAGATTGAAGGTCCAGACATTGAAATAGAGGGAAGTACTGGAGGAAAGTTCAAAATGCCTCACATGAAAATGCCAGATGTTGACATCTCTCTGCCCAAAGGAAAATTTGACAATATTGAAGGAGCACAGCTGGAGATTGAGGGAGGCAAATCTAAAATTCCACATATGACAATGCCATCAGTAGACATTTCACTGCCAAAAGGAAAGACTGAAGTTGAAATTAAGGGTGAGGGAGGAAAGTTCAAGATGCCACAAGTTGACATATCTCTTCCTAAAGGAATACCTTCAATTGAAGGTCCGGAGGTAGAGGTTAAGGGCGATGTGGGACAGCAAAACATGCCAGATGTTGACATATCTATCCCTAAACGAAAAGCAAATATTGACACACCAGAGGTTAAAGTGGAGGCAGAGGGAGGAACCATCAAGCTTCCACATATAAAGATGCCAAAAGTTGATATTTCACTTCCTAAAGGTAAAAGTAAAGATACTGAAGCACCTGATAGAGACCTGGAAGTTACAGCAGGAAAGTTCAAAGGTCCAGATGTTAAACTTCCAAAGGCGGGTATATACTTACCAACTGCTGAGGCAGGAGGGAAAATTAAAGTGCCGCAAGTAACATCACCGAATCTGGACATCGATGTAACAAGTAGTAAACCTAAACAAGACACAGAGGCTCATGGGAAGGCTGAGTTGCATGTTGAGGGAGAGCACAAAGGTCTGAAACTCAAGATGCCAACAATAAATATCCAGGGTCCAAAAGGAGACCTGGAGCTCGATTTAGGACTTCACAGAGGAGAAGGCAAAAAGGACAGAAAAAAAGTTGAACTACCCGACTTGGATATCAACTCAGCAGGAACCAGAAAAGTAAAGGGGCCTAAAGTCAAAGGAACTAAATTCAAGATCGGAATCCCAAAAAAGAAAACTGGCCGAAATGTGACAGCAGAAGCAAAAACATGCAAAAACTGTGGCGAAGAGGAGTCAGGTGTTCAAATTAAACACAAATGCAAGGTTAAAGACAGATTTGAGGTTGAAGTTGAAGTTGAAACTCACAACGGACATAAAGAGGACAAAGATCGTATTAACATCTCAGTGCCAGAGGTTACATTACCAAGTGTACAAGGCTCAACCAACTTAGGCACAGGGGGAGAAGGTGGCCTCTCGTCATCAAGAGCAGAAATCAAAGTCCCCAGGATTCCAGACATAGAGTTTGATATTGGCACATCACAGGCTGAAGATGATGACAAAACAGAAAAGGGCAAGAAAATCAAAATCCCTAAGTTTGGTGTCCCATTACCCTCCATCTCCTCTCCCGAGGGAAGAATGAATATGTATGGGCCAGAAATTCAGTACGAGGGCCCTAAAATGCCCAAAGTAAAGAAAGCTGTTTTTGTCTTGGTAAATCCTCCTCAAACAGATGAGCCCACTGCATGCACAGGCCCCCTGCAAGAGGAGACAACATTTGAGGCTGAAACAAGGAATGTCAAAGTGAAAATGCCCAAAATCAAAAAGAAGTCCAAAGATAAATCAGCTGATGTGAGCACAGAGAGAGAGTGGGAGGGAGAGGAAAACTCGATGGGTGGGGGGATTAAAATGCCTAAAGGGTCATTTTCTCCTGGCAAATCAGAGTCGTTTGACGTCACTCTAAAGGGCAAAGGTTCAAGTTCAAGTCTCAACGGTGAACAAGATGCAAGCCCTCACAAAGGCTCCAAGGACAGTAAAGGGACATTCAGTGGTAAAATCAAACTTCCAAAGGTGGAGTTCACCTCTCCATATGGCAAGACGGCTGCAGGGGAGGAGGACACGGAAATGAGTGGGAAACTAGGGAGAGATTCATCACGAGTAGAGGTGTGGGAAGACACTAAAGGGCTTAAAGTAAGATCAGGCAAGATGACCTTTGCAGGCTTTAGTGAGGAGCTCATGGAGGATGTGGTGTCATCTCATGCCAGAACAGATATGCTGGACAGGGACAGCTCAGCGTCCCCTGCTAGTTTTACCATGGAGTTCAGCTCAACAAAGGCCCAGGCTTGGAGTGAGGTGGAGAGCAAAAGCAGGGTGTCTGAGGAAAGAGAGTCTTCCCCCTGGTTCAAGGTCCCTAAGTTCAACCTGAAGCCACACTCCACAGGTAAGGATAAAGAAACTTCAAACTTTTTATCAAGTACTTGATAAAGAGCAGTAAATTATTTGATTCATGTTTATATTTTTACATAGTTATAGGGAATTTATATTGAGTTAAAAGTCAGTGAACTAGTCATGGTTAGTCAAGTCCCCAAAAATATCCTGAGCAACCAGGGTCATCTCTGCATAGGCTCTGAGAATACCGATGTTTAACAAAGCACAATGTTACAAACCAGGACAGTTGAGTCTGAAAGATATGGACCCTCCCTGCCTGGTAAACACCATATTAAGGACTAAAAATCAGTATATCTAAGCTGCATTGATTTAAGCCATTCTGGGGGAGGTTTCTGTCTTTTGCAAGTTCTACTTCATGGACTTTCACTATATGAAAGTGTAATATTAAATCACTGGAGTACTCCTATAAAAATCATCCAAAAGTAACAATAACATTCATATTATTCATAAGCTTCTATCATTATTTCACTATATTAGTATATCATTTACTATATGCACTACATTTAAGCAAATTTTTCCTTGCTGTTACCTTTGATGTGTGTTGTTTTGTGTGTTTTTATTCTATAAATTATGAAAATATCATCTCTTCTTTTGTCTCTGCTACGTCAGACTAAGTTTCCTTTCTCTCTTCACTTCTTCACCTATCCTCCTCTCTTCCTTTCCTCTACTTGCCTCTGCTTGTTTCCTCTCCTCCTGCCCCAGGCTTCCTTCAGATAACCCCAGAGGGCTCTCCTCAGGCCCAGCGGAAGGGGGAGTTGGGAGGTGAGGCTGATGTCTCCGGGTCTTTCTGCCTTCACACCTCAGGGCTCGACTTCACCACCCAGGAAATGTCCGAAGAGCACCAGGTCTCCTCCGCCGAGAAGGGAACTGTCACCCTGATGACCAAGACCACCAGAATCACTCGGCAAATGGTTGCCACTGAAACGCGAACAGGTGAATCTTCGACAACCACGACAACAACTCACCAAATGTCAGAATAGTGAGGATGCTGTAATGATATCTTAAATGTCTTTGAATTTTTTTGTTTTTCTTTGGTGAGGTTGCAGTGTTCTTGTAAGCTAAGCCTGCAACTTGTCAAACCTTGACTAAGTCTTTATTTTATATTTTAATAGGTGAGGTATGAATGTGATGAAAAGCATCATCAATCAGCATTATTGTCATTATTACAGCAACAGAGTAATATATGCTTCTTTTTTTCATTTTAAATGTGATAATTTTTTTGTTACTGTCCTCCGAGTGTTGTTAGTTTAGTCTTAATTATTTATCAGATTTTGTTTGGTTTTAAAGGTTTCTTTCTGAATGTAAACATGTCAGATTGCTAAATTATTTATTGTTGTTTGTGTGTTCAAAATGGGCTGGAATGAGTCATTTACTCAAATCAACATCAAGGATTTAACCATGATTCTATGATTAGTTCCAAAGTAATTCATTTTGAACGACTACAGTACAGGCCAGAGTAATATTTATGTAAATACATCTATATAATAGCTTTTTTTGAAGCAGTATCCCATTCAATACGAAATGTAATTATTTTCATATTCACCAGAGCCAGGAGTTGAAATGCTATTTTTTGACCTGATAATCTATTTTATTTGTCTTGAATGAAAAGTGTGAGCATTTTGAAATTATAGGCGTTACTCATTTTCTGCCATAGTTTTATATTTTAAGCATTTAACTGGTGCTGTTACCCAGAGATAGTCACAGTGAGTGAGCAGGACACTCTGGACTCTTTTTCTGCTGTGGGAATCAAACCTGTGACCTTCTGGTTACAGCTTGCTCTCAAACATTTAGGCCACCCTGCTGCTAATGTATTGTTTTTACTGTACACTGCCATGAGACACTGCTGTATATATTGTGATTGAGGAATTAGCTTAAAGATACACCCTCCGACTGATGCAGATCTTTTGAAACTCAGCTGTTACTGTAAGGCTGCTACAATGACAGACTGGCTGAAGAGTGGCGAGCCTTGATCTTGTACAAAAGCAATCACGTAAAAAGAAATATGTCCTCTAAAGACATAAGAGGGCGGATCGAGGACAAGGCACCAAGGCGCATTATTATATGAATATTTTTGAACATATAACAAAATAAGTTTGGATGTTATAATGATTAACAGCATTTTCATTAAGTGCCTTTACCCCTTATTTTTCAAGAGTATGTCCTCCATTTAAAGTGTAAATTGCTTTGAAGTGGAGCCTCATGCTGTCTTTTAGATATCTATTTTATTGTCACCACATTGAGAAATGTAAGTTTCATTCTCAAATGCAGAAAAAATCAACTACTGTAATGTTTCTGGCATTAAAAACTTACTTTTGAAAACTACCAATTTGATAAGCTACTCCGCCATTTACGTACAAGATCACAGTTTTACAGGATACAGCGATCAGAATGTTTCAAAATAATGAACTGAATGGATGTAAAGAATTTAAGAATGAATACTTTTTCATTTACTTTTATTTTACTTGTTTGGTAGAAAAAATGCATGAGGAAATCCTGACAAATCCACTCCCACATTTTTACATTAACAACTTTTGACACCATGCCTGTTCTACAGGTGAGAAATAGGTGTTTAAAAAGCTGGAACGAGAGTAGTGACATGTCAAGGTAACACGCACTGAGTAGTAGTGTATAGAGATTTTTACCTTTCTGGTTTAATCAAGTCCTTCATTAAGATAATAAGGGTTTAAGTGACAAGTGTTTTTTGTCAAAGCTGCATTGAAGAGGATGCTGGTTAAACTGCAATAAAGTAAAATTCACACAAAAAGAATATTTAAATGATTCTTGATGATTTCAGCTTAACAATTTATTGGGCGAGAGGCGATATAGTACACCCACTGACAAATTTAAATTCTTTTGCTAGAAAACACACAGGGGTATGGAAATAGGTGGACAAAAATAGGTGATAATGCTTAAAGTAAGTGTGTGTCGCATTGTAAAAAGGAGAATTGTGAGTATCGCTGTCTGGAGCTGGCGTGTTGGCTCTGGAACAGTCTCATCTGCATGTTTGCTTCACACCAGAAACTGTAGCATCAGTTTGGTATTCCACAACTTAGCTTACATTAGTTGCTGTGTTGTTGTTCGCTCTGTATCATCTGTCTATATCATCATTTGTCATGGTTTGTCCAGAATCGCATACCCTACCTTTAACCACTAAAATGCAGGGTGTAGTCAGCACATACAGAAGTACATGGATGTGCATAAGGACTGATTATTCTCATCATCACATAGAGTACTGCAGGACTATTTACTGTACTGTTTATTCTCTTGGTTTAAAAACAGTTCTGAAGGCGCTGACTGCAGGGACCGTACAGCAGAAAATGTTTTAAGGGAACATATTGTTCTCACCTTTACATTAAGCCTTTATCGGTCAAAGGAGAGAGAGAAAGAAAACAGTTTTATGCTGTGAAGACACCAAAGTACATGAATGAGTCTTTTTAAAAAATGAGGAAAAACAGAGGGAAAACTGTTAAACTATGCACACCAGTACATGACATCTTCCCCCTGTGTGTGTGTGTGTGTGTGTGTGTGTGTGTGTGTGTGTGTGTGTGTGTGTGTGTGTGTGTGTGTGTGTGTGTGTGTGTGTGTGTGTGTGTGTGTGTGTATTCTCAATCTACTTATCTACTGCTGTGATGATGCTGTGCGACGTAGGCTACAAGGGTGAATGTATGTGAGGGGACATTAACGCTGTATGAGGAGCGAACAATGCCACATGAGGAGAGGAGTGAAGTGAGCAGCAGGAGCCTGCAGCATCACCAACTACACTTTTACTGTATTCAGTTGATTCAAGAGAATGCATAACATTATATCTCACTACTGACAGCATAGACTTTCCTTAAAGAGAACATAAAATTAGACCTTTTTAAGCAGCAGCACTTTTAAGCATTTTAGTTATTGCAACTTTCAAGAAAAATGTTTGCATAGTGATTGCATAGTCTGCACTGATCTGTTGTAACAGAAGGTTTGGACTGGATTCAGACTCTCCAGCATGAGCAAAATATTATGTGTCCAAATACAACAGCACCTAAAAAGTGTGGTGATGTTGTAAGTGACACAAGTCTTATCTTGATAATTGACCCTTCGCTAAGCCACGCTCCGAATATGCAGCTGGCCAATCGCAGCGCAGTATAGGACTCTAACTGAGGTCAGACACTTTCATGGCTGCATCTTTTCTAGCTTTTTTTCTGTATTTTTCCTAGACGTGGTCAAAGTTGTTCCTGGAGCAGTTACAATCTCTACACAGAGAGGCTGAAAAGAGAAATGTTATTTATTCCCTTTCCAAAACCTAAAACAAATCCAGAAAAATGTAGGCTGTGGATTGTTCCTAATGTAATGTTATGTAATGTCTAACGTTACCTAACTTACTACTGAATGTAACATTATATAGCCCTACTGTTCTGCTTTTTAATGACTGTAATAGTGAATAGAGACCTACCCAGCCTTACAGGAACAGTGTAGATCCCTAAAATCGTTGTCCTCTTTCTCAGTAGTGAGGTAGTACGGTGGTTCATTTTTACACGATAAGCTTTAGAGTCAGTTTGATGGCCTGAAGACAACCTTCAAATGCACAATGTAACTGCAAAACTGTGTGCTTCTTTCTGAGATTGCTTTTTCCAAAAATTACACAATATTTCTGCAGGGAGTGCAGTGGCAGTGGTCGGACTTAGCTACAGTAACGGGGGGTGTGGCTTAGCGAAGGGTCAATTAAAGTACATTTCCTGACTGCACCATTTTCAGATAACATAACGTCATATGGTACTATTGGTAGTGAATGAAGTTGATCTTCACGCTCCTCTTTGGAAGTTTAAACACAAGCCAACCAATTCCAGGATCAAGTGGTTGGCTCGCCATCTGAGCTTACATGAGTATCACCCACCTTCAAATTGCTTTTTTGTCTTCAGGTAGGTGGTGTTGGATTGAAGCTGCGGACTGGCTTCTAATAACTTTAACATAACTGTCGTTGTACACAGAAGTATGTCACAGTCCCCATACAGCATTTTCTGCTTCTATCTTGTACACAGAGATTCTCATTGTCTGATTAATCTATTAATCAACATCCCTGGGATTATCTCCTCACGTTTGCTGACACCTGGTGGCAATATACTGACAGCAATGAAAATGACACTCGTAATGAATGATACTGGGGATGGTAGGGGGGACAATAAATAAACTCACATTTTATAAACATTAAAAAAACACACACAAAAAAAAGTGTATCTGATGCCAAGTCAAAGGGGTCAAAAACATTTTCAGTTGTGCAGCAGACAGATTTTCACCCAGATGGAAATATTAAACATATTACACCACTGTGACTTTTATGTATTACTATATATGTATTATTATATATATATATTTTCAAATATGTCTACCTTAGTCTGGCATTAATAACCCCGCATACACTTCCGCTCTCCTCACCTACCCCTGCCTCTGTGTGGCACGAATCACCCCTCCTATAGGTGAGTGGGCTGCAAGTCAAATTAGCTCTCCGTCATCCTGCTCGCTGAGCGCACCCGAGGCTACTGCGGTAAGATGCGGCGACGCACGATGCCGAGTCGCTGTGGATGAGATGATGCGCAATGGCCGAACGAGACTGGAGAGAGAGACTGAAAAAGATTCACTGTGGTCGGCTCTAATTGAGACGATGGGACAGAACTGAATGCATGTTTGATTTTAGCGCTGTAGCTCCAGTGGTACAGGCCGACTGGAAGGATGTGGTGGCTCTGATCCCACTGAAGGATGCTCCAGAGCCCGATGAGGGTTGAATAGGCTTCGCCTGTAAACAACAAGGAAGCAGAGAGACATTAAGTGAAGGACACTTAATTCAAGTGTGGAAAGGAGACGCTGAAGAATTGAATGAGGTAAGAAACAATAAAACCTTTCCCTGGGCATCCCTTTCAGGGCATGTTGGCTGGGGAGACTGGTTTTGCTGGTACAGTGTATGGTTTGACGTGTTTCATCTTCATCATAGTGGTTCACAATGTTCTAATATGAGTAGGATAAGTGTGAAATGCGTGGCCCAAATCTATTTTTGTCTCTTATTATCTTGCCTCACTTTGGGTAAATCCTTTAAGCTATGTGGGCATGAGGAGTGGATTTATGGGTTTGTGGCCACCTGTGTTTTATTTTTAGTCCGTTTGATGATTCTGTATGGCTGATGCAACAACTGATCTAATTGGCACCAGGATGGACATGGAGTGAATGCACCTTTTTATATAAAACAATAAGGCCTGTTTGTGTAGGAGTAGTATGAAAAGAAGCCACTTGGTTTCAAATGTATGACCTTTGACAGACTCAAACCCCCACAAACAGGATAGCTGTAATCCAGTGAGCTAAACCAAAGTGAAACAAAATTCATTCTCTGTGTGGAATGATCAGAAATTATACATTTCTCATATTTTCATTTTCATTAGATCTACTCTAATTGCTTTGCTACTAATCAGACAAATAAAATAAAGTATTGAATTGTGTTTGCTCTGGGCATGATTCTTGCTATTTTAATCGTATCAAACAGCTAACTCATAAAGCTACTGTTTCTTTTTGAGCACACATCATATTTTTTCAACTGTGAATCTTTAATTTACTTGTTTTGTCCCACTCGGCTGCAGGTTGTTTTGTGACAGCTGAGTCAGTCCTCAGTGACGAGAGACCAGCCGACAGGGAGGGCTGTGAAGACGGCGTCACTGAGCATCAGTCTGGAAGAAAACAAACTTCTCATTATCCTCTCTATCATCGGCTCTGACAGCTGGACGTCTGACCCGGGCATTTCTTTTCTTCTTCAGGAGACTCTCAAAGTTAAGGAGTAATAAAGGAAAACAGAAGCACAACTCCAGCTTGCTGTGAGGAAACGACTGATTCTGTTTTTCATTTTTTTGTCCAAAAACTCAGATGTTGTCAGAATGAGCTGTTAAAACATGAGATTAGCAAGAGAGTCAGCTCTCTCTTGCAGGGTCAAGTAAATAATTCCTCCTCAGTCCAGATGAATCAGTAAGAAATTCTAGAAATTATTTTAGCTTTTTTTCCCAAACTATGATCTTTTTACCTTTTGAGCTCTCACGTTGTGAATCGAGAATACACTCTTGATTGTGCAAGCGTTCCCTCTCACCTGACAAGCTACATTTTAACAAAGGATAAGTGAGGACAAACCAATAAAACATAGATGAGGCCAATAACAAGTACCATGCTCCAGCAGAATAACAACAACAACTACCCCTGCCTGAATGTGTCAGGCTCCAGCCGCGAGATGCTCCAAAAGTGCTCCAGATCTTCTCTGCCCTTCCCCAGCCGACTGGAGCTGGGCCTAGGTGACCTGCCGCTAATCAGGGGCCTCCGTGCCTGGGCCCTGTGCTCCAAGAACCGCCGGAAGGCTGGTGGGCTGCTTGGTGGGGGACAAGCCCACACAGCTCCCCCTGCAGGCCGTGGGGGTTCAAATTCCTGCCACAGGCCTACAGATGTGTACCTCAGCGGGGAGTGGGGTCGCATGGGGTACGGGCTTCCCTTGGGGCTGGATGCAGGGCAGGCTGGGATTGGCGCTTTGGTCACCGTTGCCACTCTAAAGACCTCAGAAGGCAGCGGGAAGACACAGACTCAATGCCTCTTCCTCCGGACTGAGAAAGGGAGCTGTTTGTACTCGACAGCTAAGCCCGGTTCTGGTGTGACTACCGGTTCAGCGTCCAGCGTGGTAGGGGGATGGCTGAGAGGGAAGACAGGAGGAGGAGGGAGCAGAGATACCCCAGCCGGGAGGAGGGACCATGGGCCAACTCCGGCAGCACAGACCGGAGCAAACCGGGTTAGAGTGAGATCAGGCCGGAGGTGGAGGAAGTCCTGTAATGCAGCATGCCGGGAGAAAACAGGCGTTAGCAGAGAGAGGCAGCAGAGCAGCAGGGAGGGTCCTGCTGGAGAACTCACTCTGGAAGAAAGGCAGGAAGAGCAAGACAAAGGAGGCCTGGACAGTAAACAGTTTCCCAGCCCACAGCAGGATACCAGGAGAGCCAAACAGGAGAAAGAAGGAGCATTCAGAAGTCCCAGATGCTGCCACAATGCTTCTCCCAAAACCTGTATTCAGTGTGGACGGCAAGTACAGAGGAGGGACAGCCAGGATGAATACGTGGGAGGTGAAAGTCCAAGAAGAAGCGTCCCAAACAGGCTGAACAGTGAGGGTAAAGGTATGAGAAAGGAGAGGCAAAAGAATGACGAGGAGGAGAAGGGAGGTCTCTGCAAGTTAGAGTCGTCTAACTCTGTTTTGGCTGTACCAAACCCTGACCTAGAATCCAACCACTTTCACCCAGAATCCCACCGCAGCTGTGATGTTAAAGAGATTAGAGAAGGTGAGAGCAACGAGGAGCTGAAGACACAAACCTCTCCCAGCAAGGATGACGGTTCAGAGAAAGAGGAGGATGCAAACTCAGAGGTTATGAAAATACGTACCGGAAACAATGATTTCAGTCATCACCATTCTGGCCAAGTGACTGATGACTTTACATCAAGGCATAACAGATATTTTGTGGACAGAAAACTAAGTGAAAACCCCTGTGAAGAAATAGCGGCTAATGTAAATGGATTTTCTGATCGTGTGGAGACACATCAAGAACCAGAGAAAGACATGGACGGTGTGGAAGTTGAAGAGGACGTAGGGAGCATTAATCAGACTTTGGGTGAATTCTCGGTTGAATCCAAATCCTATGAGGACGTCTCTGTCTCTACTTGCCCTGGCTCCATCAGCACTGCAGTCTCACCTGAGCTCTCCTCTCCTGTAGAGGGCAGCACCTGCAATGCTGACCATGAGACTTGTGGTGTTCGGAGAGAGCAAGGGAACAGCAGAGAAGATCACCTAGAGGGGTATCAACAAGGGGTAGGAGACCCTGGGATCATGGGTAAAGAAGAACTGGATGTTTGCAGATGTGATCAACAAGAGCTGAACTGTGTGGCTGAGGAGAACAACACTGTGAATGATAACAGGAAACCTCCGTTTTTCTTTAAAAATGGGGAAAACAGCAGCCAGCTAGATGAGAGAGAAGCTTCTTCACCTCTCGAGACAGACAGAAGGATCGTAAAAGAAAACAGTTGCATCTTTAGTACAACTGAGCTGAACGGAGCACAGTTTAAAGATGAGATTGTGTGGGAGAATATAGGGGAGAGAGTAAATCCAGAGGAACGGGGTGAAGCTGGGGAGATTTGGAGGAGGGAGTGCACCAGCAGTGGGCTGAATGGTGGCGATGGTAAAGGTGATAAGGAAAAAGAACAACACACTGCGGATGACATAAATGACAGTACCATACAGGAAGATGATAATAAAGAAGTTATGATAAACTGCGCACTAAAAGAAAACTGGAGGTTACAGGAGTCTGCAGACGGATGCAGGGGAGGGAAGATACAGGTTGGAAACACCTGTGGACAAACAAGCATCACTAATGTTGAAGCAAATGTCGAGACCAGCACTGATGTCACTAATGTTGCCTGTGCTGATCCCTCCACCTCTCCCACACTCTCTCTGGCTAATCCTGCCTCCTCATTGCCCCCATTGGGATCCATGGCAACCAGCCTGCCCTGTCTGGAGGCGGAGAAGGAAGGGGTCGGAGTGACGGCAGGAGACGGAGAAGGAGGCCAGGGAGGGAAGAGGAGGCACGGGAGAGAGCTGGAGGAGCACTGCAAGGAGGAGAGGGGCTCCACCGTGGCCACTGAGGAGGGGAGGAAAGAGGAGGAGGAAGATGAGTTTGGAATATTCATGCAGGCGGAGGGAGAGCCGGCCTGGAGCGAGGGATCCAATATGTCTGCCTCAGTGCCTTGTGGGAGCAGAGAGAGTGTTGGTGAGTTTCCTGGCTGTTTTTTTTTGTTGTTTTCTCTCTCTCTCTACATTTGCTGGCTGGCCTTCCCCTCCTTCTCTTTCTTTCTCTTTTATTTTCTCTCTGGCCCCTTTAGGCACTTTTCTGTTTGCCATAGACATGGGACAGGATCTTTTGGTTGAAGTTGACAAGGCTGACATTAAAAGGCTTCAGAAGGAGAGCAGAGTATTTTAAAGTACAGATTTAAGACATAAATATCAGCACTTTCTGTGTTGTTGCTGGAGAGTTGCAGAGGATTAGTGCATTTTTAACCTTTTGTACAGTTTCAGGAATGCATATACACACACTCTGTTTTAAAAGGGCCATTGGGTTTTAGCGTTTTTGCCCACTTGCTTCAAATCACTCTATTACTTTGACTCTGTCACAGTTAATCATCTCATCATCATAATCTGCAAACCATGCTGTCAGAGATTTGAATGGATTTTTCCTGTTATTACAGTATGGATTAGTAACTGCAGTATCATTATGAGGTTATCAAGTGGAGATTTTTAAAATCAGTCTACACTTAAGCTGCTTCAGATGCAATTATGATGTAACACTGACAAACGACACTGCAGACTTCATGTTATGGAAAACACATCCCGAGCAAGTTTCGAGAGTATGCTGAGTGGGAGGTGCTATTTCGAACGCCCCTCTCTCTAGAAGTAAAGGTCTCAATCATTTTCCCATTGACAATGTTTTGTGACTCACAGTTGGACACATCTGCGGCTTTGATCGACATGAAATTCTCCCAATTAAATCATGAGTACAAAAGATGAACAACTGCATTAGAAAATATTTGTTTCTTTGATAAAAAAAAGTTGAAGGTACAAGCCGGTGCACATAAAAAGACTAGTTAAATCCACTAAGGTGCATTTGAGCAAGCTTGGAATTATGTTTGTGCGCCACTATCCGCCATGCCAATATGCCAAAAAAAAACGATTTCTTAGAAACAAAGTTGAGATAATTAAAACTGTAAGCCATAACATAAACCTTTATGATCATTCAATTTACATGAAGAGACACATGTTTCTATGTGAATTAACATTGGGAATGTAGTTTGACGAACATTTTGAAATGGTAATATAGAATGGTGGGAAGCAGCCGGCAGCTCCCTCCACTAACTTGTGGAAACGAGTGAAACTAAATGGCTGACAGGTAGGAAAAATAAATCTAGAACTGTGTAATCAAGTATGTATGATTTGTTGTCAAGGAGCTAAAACTCTCAAACACACTGGTATGGTCCTTTAAAGCAAAAACTACTGAATAGAAAATATAGTAAAAAAATAACGTCTTTCACAGCGCTCTGAGCAAGAATGTCAATTGAATGACTAAAATAATAATCTGACAATATAAAACCAACTCTTATGTAGTCAACATACTCATTACGCAGACACACATGCATCTTTGACACTTTTTGTCTTTTTGTTTTTCTCTAACAGCCAGTGTTAATCAGTCCTTATGTTCCTTCATTATGCACTCTGCTAATCACCTAAGCCCAGTTTCCACTGCAGGGCCTAGCGAGGCTAAGCCGGGGATTACTCATTCATTTCTTCTCAGTTCATCCACCTAAAAACATTTCTGCGATTATTTGAACATACTGAAGATTTATCAGTGGAGATTTAATTAGCAGAAATTTTAACTCCTAGATGGTCCCTTCACCAAAATGAAATATATTTTTGCACCTTTAGTGGGCATGCAGATTGTTTAGGATTAATTTGAACAGGTTTGGCAGTATTCCCATCCCTCTTGATAATCCTCAGTTTTTATCTACAGTTTTCATAGGGACTATTTCTTTGGTTGAATTCCAATGAAAAGTGTCAGTTTTAAAGTGTCATTTTTTTTTTGTCATTCATTGGAGTGCACACATCTTAAACAAACTGGAATTCATCTCCACTGTATCAGGCAGAAATGTGTTTTTGTAATTTAGGTGATCCAAACCCTTTAACTGCACCCCATATATACACTTTGATCATTTGAAATGCATTAAGGCAGGTATTATCCCCGTTTTAACCTCGCTCCACTGGCTTCCTGTCCGCTTTAGGATTGATTTTAAGATTTTATTGCTTGTTTTTAAATGGGTTGGCACCTTCTTATTTATCAGAACTTTCACATACCCACACTCCTGTCAAAGCACTGATTTCATCCAATCAGATGCTCCTTGATGTCCCCAGATCCAGGTTAAAAACAAATTTTTTTTTTCAGTAGCTGCTCCTAATCTTTGGAACAGTTTACCCGTTGAAATAAGAATTGCTCGGACTGCTGACACTTTCAAATCCTTGCTAAATACCCACCTCTATTCATTGGCCTTCAAACAGTGTTGAGTATTGACATTATTGACCTTTTCTATTTTTTTGTTGTGTATATATTTGTTGTGGGCGCGGTGGAGCAGTGGTTAGCACTGTCGCCTCACAGCAAGAAGGAATCCCCGTGTCTGCGTGGGTTCTCTCCGGGTGCTCCGGCTTCCTCCCACCATCCAAAGACATGCGGACTAGGTTGATTGGTGACCCTAAATTGTCCTTAGGTGTGAGTGTGAGTATGTTGTTTGTCTATGTGTGGCCCTGTGATGGATTGGTGACCTGTCCAGGGTGTACCCCGCCTTTCGCCCGATGTCAGCTGGGATTGGCTCCAGCCCGCTGTGACCCTGTGCGCAGGATAGGCGGTTGACGATGGATGGATGGATGGATATTGAACCTGGAAAGCACTAGGTCAACTAGGGTTGTTCTTAAATGTGCTACATAAATAAACTTGAACTTGAGGTATTGCTTTAATGTCACTGTAAAAATCAAGTCTGCTTTAATAGTTGTCAAAGTTAACCCCTAATGTAACCTAATGCAGACTTTATATTCACTGTGATGGATTACACATTTAATCAAGTAATAATAATTTTTCATATTATACAGAAATGATGAGAAGGCAAGTCCTGCTTGGAATCTAAACAAAACACAATAATGTAGTTGTGAAGTAAAATATATGTGATTTGCAGTAAACTGCCTGAAACATATAAAGCTGCAGGTATGATCAATACAAAGTTATGTCTCTAAGTACGGTACTTAGTTTACTTATTGTAGATCTGGATACTGGACAAGAACATAACTTAACACTTTTGATCTTGTGATAAACATAGAGAGTCGTTTCTTGCCCTGGTAAGCACCATTTTGCCCTGCAGTGGAAAGGTCAAGGTCAAAGTTTATTTATATAGCACGTTTACAAACAGTCACTACTGCCCCAAAGTGCTGTACGGATACAGAGAACAGCATAAGATAAAAAGCATAATAAATAGTCAAATAAAACCCTGAATATGGCAAAAACAATAAAAACAGACAACAGATAAAAACTATACTTAAAGCAATAACAACAATAAAATGTCACAGCTCAGCATGTGTTAAAAGCCAGCGCAAAAAGATGTGTTTTTAAAAGTGATTTAAAGCTCTTAATAGAGGTAGCTGCCCGAATGTTGAGAGGAAGAGAGTTCCAGAGGACCTGCTACTGAAAAAGCTCTGTCCCCTCTGGTTTTCAGTCTGGACCTTGGACAGTCTAAAAGCAACTGGTCAGTGGACCTAAGTGCTCTGACTGGAGTGTGCAAAATCAGCATGTCAGAGAAATACGATGGTGCCAGCCCATTAAGAGATTTAAAAACAAACAATAAGATCTTAAAATGGATTCTATAAACGACATGGAAAGGAGACTCCAGTCCGTCCTGACCTGAATTCCTAACCAATCTCTCATTCTCGCTACATGGTATTAATCATTCAGAGTTGGGTTAAGGGAAGGAGGAGGAGGCAAACAGGGCCTGGAACTCTAAGCTCCTTTCAGCCTCAGGTTATGGGCCAACGGGTGAAAGATAAAGTCACACAAACACACACTCGCACAAAGACGATGTCGGATAGACACTTCATGCAACGTCTGAGCAATGGAAGGTAATGTAGGAAGGCATGAAGGGAGCAGGCATCAAAGATATTCACTGAAATGTTTCCTTGTGAGATCTCGTAGTATGATTAAGTCAAATACACAAACACAAAGACTCCCTATAATAAAAATGTAATAATTAAGGCAACCACACACATCTATACAACTATACACTGCTGCTGAAAAAAGAGAGCCCAGGTTTTTTGGGATGCTACGATCCCACTTTTTCTGATACCACAGCTCAGGGTTTTAGGTTTTGGTAACTACATAGCACGTCTGAAGTATTGCTCATACTATAAAATTCATCTTGGGCTTTAATAATATTCTTTAAAAGGTTTATCAAAGTTTGCTATTATAGTTTTATAGTAAGTAGACATTTTAAAATAACATCATAATTGCCCATGTAGCTGGGATAGTGTGATGTTGTCTATTGTTAGACATCAGCTTTTCTAGCTAGTACACAAATCTATCCGACCCCTTCAATGCAATGTAGGTTTAGTCCGTCGCGCATCCAGGTCATCTGAATGAGGGCAAAGTCGACTGGAAACATGACAGCTTCACTGCACTACAGGGACATCTACAACAGAAAATACACTGTATTATTAACCGTGTGTGTGTTTGAAAACAGCACTTGGAAACCATGCCATCACCGGGGAGTCGACCCACTGGACACCAGGCTGGGCAAACAGCTCGTTCCACAAATCAGACAACATCTGGACAGCCTTTCCTCAGGATTCATCAGATGAACGTTGCGACGTCGTGGGGCAGTGGTGGCCGACCAGCGCAGCGGAGGAGAGCAGAGACAGACTTTTGACCAATCATAATCTGGTATTGTTATACTTTTAAGCTCAGCCTCTTTGAGATGGCTTTCTTTAAGTAGAAATTCACCCTCAGATCTTCTTTCTGTTTCAATTGCATCCATTTCTCTGAGAATTCACGGACACACTCTCTATTATTAGTTCATGTGATTCATCAGCGTTGTGTCATTGTAGCCAAGCTGCTTTTAGAAATGACTGGTTGTGAACGCCTGGTTATGACTGCTATATCACTGACCAGTGATGCTGTGTGCATTCCAAGAGATATTTGTGTTGTTATTGAGTCCCCTGTGGATCATATGGTAGAAAGAAAATCTTGTGGAAATCTGTGTGCGCAGATTGAGTGTACAGATTAAAAGAGTACTCTACTAATTCAGCATTGCACTCATGTAACATCATCACGATGTGATCACGATGGTCAGTTAAAAAAATCAATGCGGCAGAACCAGAGATGTCATCTTTTTAATGACATACATTTTTCTATCTTGTCAACATTTTAGTTTAAGATTCAGTTTTGATGTGTTAGTACTGTTTAATGTAGCCTAGAGCTGTTAACCTCAAGCAGAGATGAGGAGTAGGCTTCTGAGGTCTGGTAAACTCACTTCTTTCTAACTCCACACCTCCGGATTTTTTCTTTCAAACCCCAACCGATGATGACTCACTTGAATTAATTTATTAGATGTCGCTCTGCTCCATCTGGAGCCACAAAAGGCTTTATGCCATTTTTTTCACATATGCAGTTTTACTGCCCAACACCAGTAAACAGGCTTTGATTTGTAAAACAGCACACTTTAATAAAACATTAAAAGAATTGATAAACTGCACTCAGTCTACTAATTTGTGCGCACGGCTTTCCACATAATTTTTGCCTAATCTTTGACCAATTTAGTAAAGATAAATGTATTTGGGATACAGTCTTAAAATGTACTTAAATACTGGACTTTGCTTCAGCCTGTTTCATCTACTTCTACATCAGCTAATAAATCCTTTAACACAGGTGTGTGAGACAAAGACAGGTGTGTAAACATACAGTAGCCAGCTTTTTTGATAGTTCATGAACATACTAGTTAGTTGTTCTGGCTGCTTTGCTGATTGGTCTGTGATGCTCCCATCACTGTAAGAATTTGTATCTCTGTGGTGATGAATTACATTTATATAGCGCTTTATCATAGATACTCAAAGCGTCTATGAAGATTCTCAGTCATCCAGGTCATAGTTATCCAACGAAGGTTAAAATGAAGGGCAACTGGACTTGGTTGAAGCTTCAACCAAGTCCAGTTGCCCTTCATTTTAACCTTCGTTGGATACTCAAAGCGTTTCGCAGTGAAGTGGGGGGGACGCACCTCAACCACCACCAATGTGTAGCACCCACCTGGGTGATGCATGGCAGCCATTTAGCGCCAGAATGCTCACCACACATCAGCTTGATGCCCTGTGGTGGATTCCTGTTGAATGTTGGTACAAAATGGTGACTTTAGAGATGCCCTTGTATTTTTATTAGAAAGAACCAATTTGTTTAAGTGACTTTATGTCTAAATCCTATTGCTTTGCCAGATCTGGCCCCGCCTTTGGTTCAAACGTAATTTTAAAATACAGATATTGTTTGGTAGCAAATGGCTCATAATTTGGGGCTTTAGCTGGCCTTCTGTTCAGACATAGATTGAACCCTCAGGCTCAGTTTGAGTCTGGACTGTATTTCTTTAAGTATGAGTCAGACTGAAATTGAGAGACAGAAAATCGAAGGTCCCAAAGTGCCAGTGGTAAGTGCAGAGGGCAGCTAATGTTGGAGGCAGATTGCTCCTGAACCTATAGTCAAAGTAAAAAATGCTATAATATTGCTTTAAGATTGCTTTAATAAAACAGGTGTGTCTCAGACACTTCAGTGGTGCCATTCTAGTGTATTTAATTTGATCTCTTTTTCTCCACAGACCTTAAATTGAAATAATGACCCACAAACAACAACTGTTTTCAGGCTTTCATACCCACTAGCTCAGCTAAACCTTTGCAGTCAGAATATTTGAAATAAAGAATCAACTCTGAGGTGTTTGAGGTTGAGTTACTGCGATTGCTTTAAAGTCTTTGTGCCACTAGTTTGGGCTCTCATGACAACTTCTTCTCACTAAATGCGTTGACAGGATGGCTGCTGGCTGCAAGGCTCCTGAGACTCTCAAAGTAAATCAATAACAATGATAAACATACGGTATATGGAATGTCTTTCTGTTTATGAATCCAGGCCGTGTTTATCAAGGCAGCTGCAACCCAAAGAACCACTATACCCTAGATGAGTCAAAAATAATGTGGTCATTATTTATTTCATTTAATAATTATATTTGTCACTTTGGAGACTTGGGTATATCATTTAATCTGTATGTACTTGAAGCCATGTTTTTTTATTAGTATTAAACAAAGCTACACCGAAAGCAAAAGTCCATTCCTGCGAGTGAAAATCCATTTTGCTAAACCGTGAATAGTCCTAAGCTCTTTTTGCCTGTTTGTACAAATATATTTACTGACACTCACTGTAAGACTTTAGATATAAGTCAGGTCAGTGATTTTAATCCGTCCAGAGTGCATGTCAGGGATTTTTCACCCTTCCCACAACCTTGTAATAATTACAGCCCTAATCATCTACTGTCCTCCGTTAATTTAAGTCTGGTCTGCTGTGTATCTTAGTTTTTATACTCAGAGCTAGTAGATAAAGTATTTTTGAAAGTCCTGAAAAATCACTTGTTAACATCAGTTAAGTCATACAATAAAGGAAAAAGAAAAAACCAAGACAACGAGACCTGGTTGGTCCACCACTTCAGATCAGATTAAACATCTATAACATCTACTGAACAGCACAAAATACTGTAAAGACATTTGTAGCTTTTAGATGATGTATCCTAATTATTTTGATCATCCTCTTACTTTTCCTCTCGCGCCACCATGAGGTTGCCTTCGTGGTTTTGATTGAAATGCCAGTTAGCAAACGTTAGCATGCTCACATGTTAAGCTACGATGAACATGGTAAACATTAAACCTTCCACACATCAGTATGATGTTGTCGTTGTGAAATTAGCATTCAACTCAAAACCCTGCTGTACAGCTTCATAGAGCCTTTAGTGTGGCTGTAGACTCTTACACACATTAATCAACACCATATGTTACCTTACTTAATTTTTTTTTTAATTATTGGATGCAGGTGTTGATTAAATCTGAAGAAAGTCTAATCATTTTTTTCTTGACTTGGTCAAAACTAAAACCTCCTCGGCAGAAATAATTATGAGCCATGTTATACTTTTTTACCATGGAAACACATCTTATGCTGACATAGCCCTGGGGGTTGGGTGACTAAGTTTTTAGACTTAACATGACTCAATATTTTGTAACTCACATTAGACCAGTCTAAGCACTCAGTGTTTTTCCTTAAAAAAAATGTTTTAAAAAAAGAAGCAGGAATTGCAAGAAGAGTCTCCCAGTGGACATTAACTGCAGTGAAAAGATGCAGATGAATAATGAGCTCTACCCAAAGCTGCAGGGAAGGAGAGTGTCGGGAGAAAACTGTTTCATATGCTCATAGTGCCACAAAGAGCTTTTAAGAAAATCAAGTATTAACTTCAAATGTGATGAACTGAAGAGGGCTGCAAAAAATCTTTCTGGATTATGGAAGCATCATGTCTCCTGGGTGGCATGTTTACATGTTTTTATTTTTCCAGTTATTCTATGAGTATTCTGTTTAACTGCTCAGGTTAAAAAAACACTATTCTTGAAATCTTCTGACTCTCTGATGCTGGAGTAACTAATAAGGTCTCTGTGTCTCTTCTGTAGGCGGCTCTCTTTGCTGGAGCCTTCCCCTCGCTGCCTGGTTCGTCCTTAAGTGACTCTTGTGACCTCGATACTGTTCCCACACTGACACAGCTCCTAAGAGGCAAAGCCAGTCAGGACCAGGGGTAGGTAAACCGTCTCAACTATGTCTGTTAACGTATTAGGATTATTGTGATTTACTGTACATCAATTGATCTGCTGCAGCATTCCCGGCTGTGTTGACACATTCCTCCAATTTGTAATAGCATACATCAGAGCTCGCAGATAAATCCTACATGATGTGCACTTAATCAGCTATAGGAAAATGACATTGAGGATTCTTTCCTTTCAGAAGCTTGTATTTATTGCAAATCTGATATGGCATGAACGTAGCAACGGTACAGCTAGTTAGCCTGCAAGTGTGCAACAGCTGAGCAGTTTAACGAAGATTACACTGGAGGACAAATATCTGTTTGCTAATGTGCTTTATTAAACCACCAAATTGATCATTGTGCAGTGTATTGGGATGAAATAATACATTTTCAATGGATAGTTATTCATTCAAGAGCAGTTGTTTAATAGTATATAATTATAAAGTGTATCACCAGTGTGCAACAGTGCTAGTGATTACTACCTAAGTAGAGATTAACTGTGACACTTCATGAGTCATGTTTTGTGAATTTTCAGTGTCTTAGAGATGCCAGCCTAAGTAGTGACCATTTCTGCATGTGCAACACTCTTTTGGTTGTTTGTCTGTGGGTTTCTTTGGGTTTCATCTAAGCCAGAGTTGTGCAGTGAAACCAGGAGTATATGGAAAGAAATACATTTGATGTTTTATTGAAAAATGTATGTTGGAATTAAATTGGTTTGTGGTATTATGTATGGATCAAATACTATGTTTTTTGGAAAATGTAACAAATTATGGCCACAAAGTGGTTAATATAGTAGACTGCACCTGGAACATGGATTGTGTTTATGATTGATTATAGCTTGGTAGAGTGCGTAAGCTGTATTTTCTTTGACGCAAATTTGGTTTAACCAATATGGTTGTTGAAATGTTGACATTTGTTTGTTGGAGCAGCCTGTTACCATTTCATACAGTATCATCAGTTTTATCCACTAAATGATTAATAAACTGCTCACATAAAGCATCAATATCAAATGACGCATTAATTCTCCAAGAAATGTCCTAATGACATCAACATGACTGATTCTAGGTTCATCATAGAGTTTGTATAAGAAAGGATTTATTTAATGCTAGAGTGCGGGAATTTTACATATAATGAACATCCGTTACATCCCAGCCCTTGCCGAGTTGGTTGCTGGTTAAGCCTGTCACCACCAGGTAAATCTCTCTATATTCGCAGTGTAGCAGAGTTTTTAAGTCTGGTGTCTGTGGCGAGCTTCCCGTGCTGGCAGACTACTAGTTTTTAATCTAATTTTATGACAACCAGCAATGATTGGTTTGCCAGAGCTGAAGGGGGAGCAACGTAGCAACAGCTGCAACTCAATGGTGTAATTACTCTCAGTATCAGAAGGGGGAGACAGAAGTTCCACACTGCAGGTTTAAGTCCTTCACAGTGTCCTCACTTAGTGATCATTTAGGTTTCAGTTATCCAGCTTTAAAACATTTCTCTTTAAATGAAGTCAGTCTGTCTTTGACCTTTCTACACGCCACCTACTCATCATGTGAAGCTAAAGTAAGTGTAGATATACTAAAGATAATATTATGGTATGTTTTACACACAGTCTGTATCTGATACTGAATTGAAGAAAGCAATCATTTAAAACAAATTAACATCTGTCACTCTGTCCTTCCATTTAATCATTGCTTCCTCTGTGTGTTGTTCATGTTTGATCCTGCAGGCTGTTGGACAGCTTCCATGACTTGAACAAAATGATTTGCCAGAGATACAAGAGAGCTAATGGCGTGTCTCACGACCTGCTGCTGAAGACTTTACACCTGGAACAGCCACACACTGTGAGTAAAGACTTTAATTATTCCTTCTGACAAACGAAGGAATGGCAGTGCAGCAGTTTTTAGAAAGAAAAAAAGTCTGTTTTGTGGTGACGTGTGTCAGTGTCCAGCTCTCTGTTATAATGTTTCTAATGTAACAGTAAATGCTCTACACACACTCCTGTTCTCTACACATAATTATTAGCACAGAGCACTTAATGTTCAATTTCACTTTGGGAAGCTTCAGTGTCAGCAAATTGTGTTTGTCGAGGCAGCCTCTACAGCATGTTAAATGAACTGATAGTGCTCTTTTGACTGATGGCCTTGAAAACTGCAGCTTCATTCAAATGAAGTGACCACTATTACATGCAAAACACTCCTCACACTTCACAGTGGCAGATAAATGAGCAGACCAGGCTGGTTGGTTTCACAGTTGAACCAAACCATGTGAGAAAACTACAGAGCACCTGCAAAATATGCAAATGTGAGTTCTGCAGGGTTGCAGAGCAGGAAATACCACACTGTGTGAAAGGTCCCTTTTTTATTGTTTCATCTCTGAATCTTAACTATTTCTCACTCAAAGAAATACGCGAGGTAAATTACAAGTTAATTTGTCTTTTACTGGCACAATCTGCTAAGCCACATATTGCCACCTAGTTACTCCAGATATTAAAACAGGCAACACTAACTTATATTTACAATGGCAACACAAAATATAAATATACTAACATATAAACTGACGCACATAACCTCATAACAGCCAGAAAGACAACTTTTGTCAACTTTTATTTAAACATGTCTTTCGGTACTAAAGGACAATTGAGGGGGACAGCTGTTCCTGACATCTAACTGTAAGCCCTCTTAACAGTAAATAAAAAGTATTTGCAAAGTAATCAATTGCATTAGCAAAGTAAAGCGCTGTAACTAACAATAATTTTCATTATCGATAAGTCTATTTTTTTTATTAATGGTTTAAATTGTGAGAAATTAATGAAGAATGTCCACGTCCATCAATAAATTGCATGTCGACCGACAAATCGCTTAATAAACTCGTCACCTCAGAACGTGTGGAGTAAACCACTGGGTTGTGTTGCTGATTTTAGCAGGTGTTCAGTAGTCTAATATCACATCTGCATTATTGTGTTCTTATTTTTGCAGGAAAGCAGACATGCTTCCCGGACAGCCAATCGCCGTCTCTCCCCTGGACTCCCCTCAGCCAATGACCATGCTCAGAACGCTGTTGCTAAGCGACGGCTGTCATATGACTACAATAGAAACATCATGGAGTAATTTTTGAGGGTTCAGCTCTGGTTGGACTGTGATCAGCCTGACAGAGCAGACAAACAACTGGTTAAGAAAGACTCTGGATTCACATCATGTGTGCTATCTGCTAGTCAAATACTGAATGAGCTTTTGGCTCTTTGCACAATCCGTGGTTATTTAAGCCTGAGCCAGTGAGAAGACGTAAACTGGATGAAAATGGAGCGATTCACTTCAGTTGTGTTTCAGAAGTTATCTCCTCCAGTTCCTGCTGATGTATACTGGTGGAGTCTTTTCATTACACATGTGCCACCTTGTTCACCACCACCACCACCCTCCTATTTTAAATTTCTTTTTTGACCCCAATGACAGTAGGTTGTCAAAGATTGTTTGGAGGGTGACAACCTGAAGTTAGGTACTCGTCACCACTTTTGAGGAGGAGGTAAGAATATTATAATGTCACCACTCCAACCCTAAAAATGTCCTTCCTGTTATTTTATTATCTTAAAGGAATATTAAAATTGTACCTAAATAGAAATATTCTCATGTCAGAGCTTCTCTTTTGGCAGAAATTGTCTCATTCTTTTAAACTCAATGCAATATTTTTAAATATCACATTTTCTGGGTTAATTCCTGACCATTGCATTCATGATTTTAGAATGTCAGCACGCTTGCTTACTAGCTTAGCTGTATTGATATAGACAACAATGGCTAATTTGAACATGAAAAGTCAGCTAGGCTCCTGTAACTAGCTAACCTTGATCATTTTTTGTGAATGCATATTTCCCCCACTTCCCTTTCTCTTATCTTTTGCCTTTTGCAAGATATGAGACGATATCTTATTCAGAATATTGTCTCTTCGACTCCCAGGAGTTGTCTAACTCAACCAATGAGATTTTTTTCTTCTTCTAGAGCAGCTCTGCCAGAAAAGTTTGTAGAATTGATGTGTTCATGTAATGTGGAAATGGAAGAGTGCAATAAGTGCAACGGATTTCTGTTTACATACATTCATTTAAATTATATTACTGACAATGAAATAACTGTTATTTAGCACCGAGCTGCAGTTTATGATACCCTTTGGGTGTAAAAAAGAAATCATTTCTATTTTCCACATTAGCACTGAATTAGTCTCTGTGAAGGAGGCATTAATGTTCGCCTTCGAGCAATTCTGTATTATTCAGTGCCAAGTCTGATGAATTGGATCTTTCATAAAAACTATATTTATACAAAGTTATAATTACAAATACAATTACATCCATATGATATGAAGGCCACATAAAACTTCAGCCTGCTTCCCAGAATTTTTTGTTTTGTTTTGTTAGAGAAAAAAAACAGGCTCCTTTTTTGCTGTCACTCAATTAACATGCTGGGTTGACCTTACAGCTGCTGGAAATCTTCAATAATATTGAAACATACTGTAACATCTCCCCCCTATTAAGTTTTCCACCCACACAGAAACCTGCAGTATAAAAGGCTGCACGGACGCCAACTTATCTCTACAGATGTTCAGCCTTTTGTCAGCCCTTTGTTTTTGAAAGACAGAAGTAACAGAACATCATGTGATCACACTGGAGAGCAAATGTGGGTCCAGATGAGATAATTTTGCAAAGCAATGCATGTGCTTTCATTGTGTATTTGTTACAGAAAAGCCAATGATATCAATGAATCTTAAAATAATTTTGGTTCTTCGGATCAACAAGTTCGTCTTCCAGTTAGTGCCAACAGGAACACCAATGAAAGTGCCAATGTTCACGAGGTTATAGAAGCAAAGCAGACATATTCAGGAGGAAACGTTGCCTCTTGACACACTGAAGTGGACTCAAACTAAATTCTTGGCATGTGATGTTTCTCTCTTTTTTTCATTGCCTTTCTGTCTGGCTTCCTGTCTGCCTCTCTCTCTTTCAGTACGCTCACAGTTGAGTCCACTTCACAGGCAAAACTTGAATCTTGCTGCCAACAAAACAATATTTTTACAAGAATATTGTTCACATTATGACCATGTCAATGATGCACTGTACTGTATTTTTAATTTAGACATACTGTTACCTTAAAAGGTTTATTTCGCTCTACGTTGTATATTTCACTTGTCAACTCATTTGTGATGATGTTCAGAAACAATCATGTGTTTGCGTGTCTGCCATTTGTGCAAACTTCAAATTCCTGAAAAATAAGAATATTGAATATTGAAAATGAATATTTTCTGATCTGTTCAAGTGGAGTAGAAGGAGTTGTCGCCTTGTTAACTAATGTAATAAAATGATAATCTGTGATGGCTGAGCACTTCCTCATGACATACAGAAGTATGTGACGTGTTCATTTTAAAATGAGATATCCACCAACTGACAAGCAAGATAACCAGCGCAAGAAAAGCTATTTGCCTGAAACAGAGGAACATTTTAGAATCTGATTAACTGTCTTTTGTAAATGTGGTGGAACAAACATGTACTTCCTAAATAGAGCTATCTTTTTTAAATGAAATAATATAGATATAAGAACCCAACATTTAGCTGATGTGGTATGGATTCACTTCACGGCCAGGAGAGTATTGTATTAAGATAGATTTGAAGTTGACCTGGCATTATCCAAAGTTTTTTTTCTATTCTAAGTCAGCCAGCTTTTTCATGTGCCAAATATGAAAACAGTGTTACTACTGCCACATAACAAACTGGAAAGCACTAACAGAGTGAAAATCATTGGCCAAGGGAGCACATTTCTCTAAAACTGTTCATTTAAACCCTGAATCTGTTTTTTCAATAGCTTTTAAAGTCTGGTTTTAAAATCTGGTTTCAGACCTGCATTAACATATACAAATGATATACAATCATGCTGGTTCAGTATTCAGACTTTGTATAAGGTTGATTTGTGCAAAATTTCATTAGAGTCAAACTCATGACCAAAGAGCTATGGGCATTTAATGTACTGCTGTAGCATCACGTATATGTGAAATGCCATAAACATTTGCAGGATTACTTAAGACTGCTGACTGATGCACCAACTATAGAAGATTTGGGGAAACAGTCACAGCAAAATAGCATGCTATGAACCAAATTGGATAAACTCTGGAAGAGTGGTTTAAAGAGCTTGGAAAACAGCTGCTAAGCTGGTAGAAACAACCTGGTCACAAGCCTACATGTTTAACTTTAGGCAAACAACCGCTATCACCACCTGACTATCAACACACAGTGGCAAACAAAAAGATGAAAGAGCGCATTGTGACATCTTTAACTGTGGCTTGTTAAGCAAAGCACATGTTGTGTAACATGTTATGATGCACGTTTACATGTGCAGTATTATTTCACACATGTTTGTGTGAGCATGGCTTAAGTTTACCTCTACGGATATGACTGCTACTGATGTTGATACGTTTTATGTCTTTAGATTTCATTGGATAAAGCTGACTATACAGTGATATATATATATATATATCACAGTTGCAGGTTTGGTAGTTGGTCTGCAGTATTTTTCAGGATATTCCACCATATCAATGGCTGAACACGTCGACTGGTACACATTTTAATAAAAAGCCAACATCTCTCCCCAGCGAGATCAGTGCAGCAGCTCTGTGGTCCAGAGAGAGTTAAGCACTTTATTTGCTGAGTCAGAGCAGCTGTCTGCCTGCCACACCATGATAACAGAGCTTTGTACTGTGTAGTAGAGAAAAGGCTTATGGGCAGTAGACTACCCTGACCTTAACGTTTACACTGCATGTATCAGCCGCCCTTTACATAAACACCATAAACAAGACAGCAATTTTTTCAAGGAGAAACTAACAGCATGCTGGGTATTTTAGTGTGCCTAGCAACCTCTGTCTGTGAAAACAAGTGCATGGTTACAGCCTGACGGCTCAGGGATTTAGCTCTGAACTTCCTATGAACTAGAATGTAAGTTAAGTTTCATTAAGCCAAGAAATAGTCCAGCACATAATCGCCTGTATAACCGCAACATGTCGTTTTTACACTTGTTTTTGCACAATATCAACAAACAAGGTATGCAGTTTTAATTTGTAAGCGTTGGATGTGCTGGTAGGAGAATTTTGTTAACTTTGGACAGAGCCTGGCTAACTGTTTCCTGCTGTTTCCAGTCTTTGTGCTAAGCTGCTGGCTGTCACTTCATATTTACCGTACAGACATTAGAGGTGTTAGTCATCTAACTCTTGGCAAGAAAGCACATATTTCACACACAAGCTCATACTTTACACTTTTCACACTTGCCATTTTCATACCAAACTTTGCAACAGCTGTGTTTGTGCTATAAAACTGCATTCTTGTAAGTGGCATAAAAGGCTGTGGGAAAGGCCATCGTGAACATCATGGGATCTTTTCCACTGACTGAGTTTTTTAAGGTCAGTTTGAGGCTCAGTGAAAGAAAAACACTCTTATCTCATAAAGCCACTATTGACCAACTACTTTTATTTGGTACATGAATAAGGGGGCAGCATGCGGGTTCAAACCCCGGTTGCCCCGGCCTTTCTGTGTGGAGTTTGCATGTTCTCCCCGTGTCTGCGTGGGTTCTCTCCTGGGTTCTTCTCTTCCTCCCACCGTCCAAAGACATGCGGACTAGGTTGATTGGTGACCCTAAATTGTCAATTGAGTGTGAGTGTGACTGGTTGTTTCTCAATGTGTGGCCCTGTGATGGATTGGCGGCCTGTCCAGGGTGTACCCCGCCTTTCGCCCGTAGTCAGCTCGGATTGGCTCCAGCCCCACGTGACCCTGTATGCAGGATAAGCGGTTGACGATGGATGGATGGATGGATGTTCAGGATCTACAGACGTGGATTTAAAAGGAACCAAGCCCACATCTTCCACTTCCTACTGGGCCAAGTACCATCCAAATGATGCTGATGGCTCAACCTGTGTGTGGCCACGACAGAGCCAGATGAGGACCACATCACAGAAAGGATGGTGGCCACATCTGGTTGAAAACCTAAAAATCCTGTAAAGGCTAAAAGCAGCAATCAACAATAAAATAAAACATAAAACAGTCTTACAACATACACAAATACATATGCACTTTCCAAACTTCCCACACGCATACAGTATACAACAATCTGCAACTCTGATAGGTTAAACCAAACAAAGAAGGCATCTATAAGTGACACTTCTCTTTCTTTGTTTTGGAGGAGACAGAGAAAAAAAGGTTAATTGAAATATAAAATAATGGAAAATAAGATCAATATAAAGATAATTTACCCTGATAATAAACTTAAATTTTGCCAATGGCTCTTAAAAGACAGGCAAGGAGATCTGTCACTTTCTTATTTTTCAGTTCAGTAGGCTGGAAAGTCTTTGATGAATCTGATTTTGTCAATCAACTTTATTACAGTTTTGTTTGGATTTAGAATTGAGAAAAGACAGCTACAGTAATTACCAGCACAATAATCCAAAACTTCTGTGGTGACAGATGAAAACGCGTTTCCTGGATGTAGCCTACTTCCAGGACTCGGAGCTAAGCACACCCTCCTGTTTCTGCTGTGGGAGGAGGATGCGTTGACAAGGAGGGGTTCAAGTTCAATTAGGACAGCCCCCAGAAAAGTTCTCACACAGAAGAAAAGACAAGAAAGCAGTCATAGAAACAAAGAGGGACGCGGTCGGCAGCAGCTCTACTGATGTTAATCCAGGAGTAAAACAAGACATGTATTCTGTAGGCAGGTGGCTCCTGCTTACAGGCTTCATACTCTTTTACATCATCTATCTTCTGTTCGGAGCTCTGGTTTTCTCCAGCATCGAGCGGCCGGTGGAGGACAAGCTGCGACAAGACATGGAAGCCCTGAAGCAGGAGTTTCTGAACCAGAGCTGCGTCGACGCCGCGTCCCTCGAACTTTTTCTCGTCAAAGTGCTGACGGCAAACAAGTACGGCGTCTTCGTCCTCAGGAACTCCTCCGTTTCTTCAAACTGGGACCTGGCATCCTCCATGTTCTTCGCCAACACTTTGGTCACCACAGTCGGTGAGTTCAAATAAAACAACAGAAGAAGTTTTGTTTTAGCGAGAGACGTCACCAGGTGGCGATTTTGCGCAAAACTCGCGTCAACTAACAAAACAAAACCGCTAATACAGGGACTTTCAGTTGATTGGAGAAAAAACACCAGAAATGTCCACTACTGTTAATGTTGTTGTTTTGCCATATGACATGGATGTGAAAGACAAGGTTCAACTGTGCGACTTTAACTTACAGAGATAATAACACAAGCATACCTCGGGAAAAACCCAAAGCCATGGAAAATACCTAGGTTTTCTCAATACTTGAACAGATAATTTTCTGTTAAGTTTCCTGAATAATCTGTAGCTATACACAGTCAAAAATGGAAGACTCTTTAGCATATGAATTTGGGGTTCACGGGTCTTTTATAGTTGATTAATAAGGCAAAGTTTGTTAATGAGGGCAGTCACTGACAATTACCAGACAAAAAATAACATGCTGTACATTTTTGGAGAATTTAATCAGATACAGTATTTAAGCCTGGTATGTAACCTGTAAGTACAATTACAGCTAAGTCTAAAAGTCTAAGCTAATTTGTCTTGTGCAGACCACTATGAAGGCTGCAGTGATGAAAGAACACCATTCTCTTCAGTTAATATATAAAAAAGTGTGCTTAGACACAGAAAATAGTGAACGATCCACTTCACATGCTTTGCTTTGTATATGAGCTCTTACCCTCTGGCTGATAGTTTAGAGTTCCAATATGTGGAATGAAAACTCATTTGTTCCATCTTCCATAAAGGTTTTAAATAGCAGCAGTTAAATGATAAATTGGTGGAACTGTACGTGGTCACAGGGCACTTTATAGTAGAGTTATATCTGTTTTAAGGTTAAATGTGCAATATTTCGCCACAGTGTATGATGCTAATATAACTGTTTTATTGGTTTAGTGATCTTTAAGCATATAAAACTTGTAAGTCCCACAAAGGACCAAGTGTCTCTGATTATAAAGGGGTACTTCAGAGATTTTGCTCAAGTTCACTTTTTTGTCATCATGAGGAGCACTGCTCAGCCTGTAATAACTGTTGTAAAACGTCTGAGAAAATAAGCCTGAAGCTTTACTATTATGTAATGTAGATGAATACTTTGTGCTGTATGTTGGATCCAGCTTATTTACATCAGCACACATTCAAATACACTGACTGAGCACCACAACTGGCCATAACGTTAGCCTGGTTTCAGTAGCAGCTTCTACAGATATGACAATCCATGTGGAATGTGCAGTTTAATTACACAAATTCGACACACTAAAAATATGATTTATCAGTGACATCAAAAACGGTGCGGTGAAAACCATGCTTTATTCAGTCACATGTT